TTATATATATATATATATATATATATATATATATATTCTATATATTAAGACTCCAAGTTATATTTAATCGACATAGATTTGCAAGCCGACATGAATGAATGAAGTAACGTAACGCCTACATGACAATGTTCTAATTATATATACACACGACGACGCAGTAAAATTCACATAAATATGGCATTCGTCGAATACTTGGCGAATGATTCCATCGTCTGGTCGTGTCGTGCAAATGAAACGAAAATAAAAGTGACATGCTAGCGCAGTAAAAACAATCCTTTGCGAAAATCAGTGGTTCGAGTGCAATTATGGTCAACCGGCGCAGTAGTATAATGCAATCATGTGTCGGACTAAGTAGTTATCAGTGTTGTGCTTAGATGATTTTAAAACTAGCTAGATAAAGATGAGATAAAAATATGTAAATTTATTTTAAGTAAGATAAAGATGATTTTGATTTAAATATATCTAGATAAAAGATAAAATTATATGACGATTCATCTAGATATATATAATTTTCTATAATAATTTTTAAGAATGTAAACGCAGTTATTTAAAAAATGTAAATAATAAAAGGGATATAAAAATATATGTATTCATATTTTTATTTATAAATTTTTATCGTTTACTACTTAAGTTCTACTATTTAAGTATTTTTATGTGCTATGATTCTAAATCAAAATTATCTGAAAATTATTCTAGATAATTTAATAAAAATAATACTTTTTTTCATCTAAGATGCAGATATAGATAATACATATTTTTATTATCTATAGAAAGATAAGATGACGCCAGAGATCTAGATGATCATCTATATAATTTTATTTAGATAACAGCAAACACTGTCAGTTAAAGATGCTCAAACGAGCAGGGAAACGCGGACGTTCTTGCTTCGTAATATTTGAGATATTTTACTTCCCAAAAATTTCAAGGTATAAAGAAATCTATAAAGATCTTTCAGAGTAGAGTGTTAAAATAAGAATTTTTTTAAGAAGAAAATAATTCGAGATGCTACAGTTTTCTCGAAACCAAAATATACTCGATTCATTCTGCTTTCGCTCTGTATTATTCTCTGTATTCTTTCGTATAAACGTGTACACAGTTGAAAAATTTAACAGATATCACACATCCCAAATGGTCCCACAGAAAATTTTGTGTTAATTTAACATAATATGGATATGTTAAATAACGACACAAATACTCTGTTAATATTTTAACACAAAATAAGTGCAAAACTTTCAGTAATTTGAAATAAATTTTGCGTGAAATTAATATAGAGCTTTTAATGTTAAAATTAACTTAAAAAATGTTAATTTTACATTTTATCATTCCCAGTTATATTATAAAATAAAAAAATCGACACTTTTTCGATAAATTTTAACAAATTAATAAAACAGAACATATTTATAGTGTAAACTTAAAAATAGATACACATGTGTTTTTTTCACATCTTTTTTCAGTTGTTTTAATAATTGAACATTTAAGTTCAATTAACAGCAATATGTTAAATTAACACACAAATGTATTAAATATTTAACACGAAAATTTTAACGGGAACCGTTTTTAACAAAAAAAACAAATTTTCTTTCTGCGTATCATTCTTTTCTCTAACTCTTTTATACACTAAACTAATTAACTTTGCAACCTAAAGCAAAGCATCATGTAGACATAAGTAAATAAGCATTAGAGCATTATATGAGTTAATTAAACATACGAAAGAATTGTAATCAGATTAAACAGTAAACAATGGCTCGGTAATTTCGTAGCACTTAAGATAATAAAGTAAACTATCAAACTGGAATGTAGAAAGTGATGGTTTGTCTTCGTAATAGCAATCATTTCACGCAACCTGTGCCATGTAATCTTGTAATATTTAGCAGAATATGAATTTTTACGGTTTAATTAGTCCACTAAATTAAGAGAAATATGACAATTATTTATCGATTAATATAATAAGATATATTTCAAATATATCTTGTACTGCTGTTTACCCCGAAACTTATAAACCAAGCAGGATAATGTTCTGAACTATGGATTATAGTAGAGTAGGTCAATTATTATTCATACGTATTAAAAAAAAAAACTAGCTATATATATATACAGAGTGTCCCATACCTACCGTATCACACGTTAATGGGAGATTCCTAAGACGATTTGGAGACGATTTTTCTTTAGCGAGAATGTCGAGAAAGGTCATCATTTTTTTAATGTTCCCAATTTTAGAAATCATGTATCTTTATAACTAAGCCTTAAATTAAAAGTCTATTGAAGTAAACTTCACCTGAAATTGACTAAAAAATGTCGTTTTATTAATAATTTATTTTACAAGGCTTAATTTACAAAGAAGCTTTTATTTTCAATCGTTTATAACTCGAAAATTATTGGTGCCTGGAGGAAAAATCGTCTCCAAATCGCTTGAGGAATCTATTAACGTGTGATACGATAAGTCTAGGACACCCTGTATAAATATAATTTTTCGAACTTAATTAAAATTGAATCGAGAATAATCGTATAAAGACTTTACATATTAGATCTAGAAAAAAAAAGAAAAAGAGAGGAGCTCGATTTTATAAAAGTTGTAACAATTTCAGAACAAGTAGTTCAAGGAAAAGTGTAATCTGACGTTTCCTGGTCCGCCCTTGGTTCCGCTAGGATTAAACATCGATAGGTCAAGGGCGCATACGCACACGAATATACACACATTCGATACTCGTTTTGTGAAATGTATCTCAAAACTTGGTAAATTAAAACCACCCAGCATCTCGACTCTACAAGCGGCGCTTATCGCGCAACAATATCGCAGACTAACAGTTTGCTCGCCGTTTACATTTTCGTTATCAAACGCGTACCTATATATCTTTGCTCAAGGCAAACCTTCTCCTGATTCGTGCGCGACCGAAAAATCTCATAGGGAGGGCACAACAAAATCTGTAGAAATTTGTTCGATTTTTTTAATACACGCACGCGGATCTCGAACATTCAATCGGCTAAGAGAGAGAACTGTGCAACTGTGAAAAGCGGCTATGCGCGCCGTGTAGGATTCGCCTGGGGATAGGTCAATCAATGACCTATTTAAGGAGTCTTCAGACCGATCTCCCTCCACCGCGCTCTCGCTATCGGGGTTATTCGCAGTGATAAATACTGCTGCGAGATAGAGCGACGTTGCGTCCAGCAAATGGGGCGGAATTTAAGCGTACGCGAGGCGCGAAAATTGCTCTCGTAAATTCTTTTAAACGTCGCGACGACGGGAAAACAAAGCGATTAAATGAACCATCGAAGTGCTCCCACGTGTCGATTATTCCCGCTTTGGAAAATATATCCATCGATGGAGTCCCGAATCCAGAGTGTCCAGCAGACTCAATGAAAAAAGTTCCCTGACTTTTTCAGATTTTCCAAGACCAGAAGTTCATTTTCTCCCTGACCTTTTAGTATTATTATTTCTTCCAAATATATATAATTTGCATATATCCATATGATAAATCAATTAAATCATGAAATGCTTGAGATATTTTTGTCAACAATGAAAAATCGAAAGAAACATGTCACTATAAACTATTGAAATAATCACCTTTTTTATTATATCAAATTTTTTTTAGTTTTGTCTCTACCAAACACATTGAAATAAAATAACACGACGATGAAAATATAAATTAACGAACACGCTGTAGATGAATCGATTTTTAACAACACAGAGAATTAGCATGCTGGGAGTCAAGGAAAAGTTTATATTTATTTAATAAAAAATTTCAAATTATTGAGACAAATGTATAGAATAATGTGCAAAAATCCAGATAAGTAGTAAAATTTCCTGACTTTTCTCGGTTTTCCAGATTTCCCTGATCGCTAAATACCCTCTGGAATTCTTCGAAAGAAAAATCTCCGATTCAAGGAAAGTTTCTAAGGGAAGGATTTCTTAATTATTCCTATTTTTCTTACAGTTTCGCGTATGTGCAATTTTGTTCTATATAAAGATAACCGATAGCCTTTCCCCCTCGTCTTCGATATAGAATCATATACCCATAATCGCGAAATAACACAGTATTGATGTGTTAATTGTCAAGCTATTACAACGCGATTGATTTATTGATGTCGAATTAAATTCGTTGCAGCTACATCTCCCGTGCAAATACTCGTCCTAGAGCGAGCTCCCGATGCTATTGACAATTAGTTTTAACCGGTTAAAGCCGTGTATCGATATTGCCGTACCCTTATCTAATCTTATCTGACAATCCGCTGCATATTACACCAGCGACTTCGAAAAACCAACAAAATCCGATAGCTCTCTACTACGGCGAATGCTGACGCACGCGCAACCTTGTAGCCAGAGAGATGAAATAAATTCCTAATGAAGATCGACTGGAACAGTTCGCACCAGCTTACCACGACCATGAAAAGTGCGAACCTGTGTTTGTAAAATGTACACAAAGATACAGTGTCGATACTTTCCACAAAAGCTGGAAACTCGATATCCGAAATGTAATCGATTCTAATTCTGTTTTGGAGGAAAATATGATTTTCTCAGTCTGTACAAAGTGTACTGCGAACTAAAAGATATAAATATATTGTTAAAAATCATCGGGAATCATATTCCCCGTGACCCATTCTATTTAATCTCGTCAAAAATGCATTCTAATAGCCTTAAGAAATCTGAGAGATGGTCTAATTTCTTATTTTTTCTTCTAGTGTCTTTATCAAATTTAATTCGAAAACCTAATAGTTAGGTGTATTTTTATATATGTATACAAAGTGTTCCTAAAACTATGTCAGAGACTTTAAGGGTGTATAAAAAAAAAGTTCCTCTAGTTATGGATCCAAAAATACTTTTCCTCCAAGTTTACAGCTCCCTAAAGTTGGGGAAAAAATGCGAAAATTTTCATTTTTGGACCTTTTTTCCGAATTGACATCCGACATGGTTTTCGAACACGCAAAGGAGTTCTAAAAGGGTGATTATAAAATCGTCGAAAAACATCTGTCGCGTCTAGTCTCGAGAAATATGAAAAGGATATGGATTAGTGATAAGCGCGAGACACCAGTTGCGCGGTCGTGTGGTCTGGTCGAGATATCTGAGTGCAATTGGAACGAAACCTGGATAGGGTAGACCCTCGCCCTCCTCCTCCTCCTCCTCGTCGTCCTCGTCCTCGTCATCGTCCTCGTCGTTCTCGTCGTCCTCGTTCTCGGCATCCTCCTCTTCCTCCACGAGCGCTCGACGACGTCTGTCGGCGATTTCGCGAGCGTCGTCCTCGTCCTCGTCGTCCTCGAGGTCGCTGAGCTCCGCCACGTCGCTGTCGGAGCCCTGTTCGACTCCGACTCCCGTCCTCGACGCGGATCGGTATCGGTATCCCTGAGGATAGTGCAGCGACATCCTCGGAGTCGTCCTGTTTCCTCGTCCTCAACGACGCTGCGGCCTCCTTGGCGCCTGGAGCTGCGTGAGGCGACGATTCGGAGAGTCCTCGCAGGGAGAGATTCTCATCGCCCGAGGTTGCTCCGGTGCGACTTCCTGCACGGATTGTTCCAGGACTAACCGCGCGAACAGGTCGATCTCGACAGCGTCATCCCTCCTATATCGGCGAGCCTCTTCCTCCGGGATTCTCTTCCTCAATCCTGACTGCTCTCACCACGCGTTGGTCCACACTGTCGAGGCAGCGAGCGATCGCCCGCCGATCGCATATCTCACATCAGGGATGCGCCTGCTCCGCTGTTTCTCTCACCTGCGCTTCTCTCTCTCTCTCTCTCTCTCTCTCTCTCACCTGGGGACGTAACGCGAGCGCGCAGTAACCTTGCCCCGGATGGACGCGCGCAAATCTCACCACGAGGTCAGATATCCTCGCGACGCGAGGTTTCCGCTCCAGAAAGAGAGGACACGTGAAACGCGCACGTTGACCACCACCTGGGTACGTCTTCGAGTTCTCTCCGGGTCCTATCGACCCCGATGTCGGTCGCGCGGATACTGAACGTGGTGGTAGCCGCGCGAATCACGGCCGTGTGTGTATTCGGGGACGACGACGGTGCCCGACGCAGCGTCGACCGGTGACTGAAAAAAAACGTCGAACATCCTCGGCGCCGACGGTGAAGTACCCGGACGCATGCGCGACCCCGGTGCGTGCGTGTCCCTCATCCGTCTCGCGATATACTTCCAACGTCCTCCTTCCTCCCGGAGAAAATCCGGAGAGAGATCTCCACCTCTCCCTCGCGTTCCCAGCATCATCTCCGCGTCTCTTCCTCTACGTGCTTCTCCCGGTCGCTCGACCGAGGTTCCTTCGCGACGAGCAAGACGGAGGAAGAAACTCGGAGGGATGGAGAGGCAAAGTCCTTGAGAGTCCTCGCTTTCACTTTCGGTGCCGACCAAGTCGCACTTGTGCTTCTCTTCCGTGCCATTATATTTGCCGGGAGAGTACCACCGATGCATTTATTACATCGAGACTTGGACGGCTAATTGATGAGGAGGTCTCGCATATATACGATGCACGCCGACGATTTCTCCCGCGCAGAGGGTGCGAAAAGCATAGGGGGTGGAAAGCAAGTTCAGCGAAAGAGAAGTTCCTTCCTTCGGGCTGCGCCGAATAATGGAGAGGAGAGCGAGGGAAGGGGAAAACATCGATAATACTTGTGGGTGTAGTTGATGGATGATTGTTCGACGACGGCATAGTCGAGGGGTTGAACTTTCTTCGATAAAGGCGATAAAAAGCCGTGACGATTTCATTTCTGCAGCGTTCAATTTTATGCTTCGAGATAACGACGATCTCGATTCTCGAAGACATCTCTCGATCCGCGCTTGAAGGAAATTTTATTCAAAATGCGTCGCACAAACAGAAATGATGAAAATGATTCATTCTAAATTAAACATGCAGCTTAAACGATATTGCTGTATGCAAAAGTTATTAATAATTGATGGCAATCATCGTTAATTATATGTGATATGAGGGCAATCTTTTCATTGAAAAAAACCGATTGATATGTCATTATATTCTTTCACACGTAGCATTTTGATATGAATTTTTTAAGTTATTCTATTTTAAGATCTTTCAAAAAAATATATGTATACATGTATAAATACTACGAGTTTTGAAAGAAGTAAAAGAAGTTTTATATCAATTCAAGTGTGTACATATATATATATATAGTATATATATTTCTTTCGAAACTTGTAGCTTTCATACTTATATATAAATGCTAGTTTTGAAAGAAATAAAAAGAACTTTATATCAATTTATTGCGTACACTGAAAAAAATTATTAAATTAATAAATATTTATTTCAATACTGCCTAATAAATCATTTATTTGAAACAAATAAATATTTATCTGTTTTGAAAAGGATTTTCTTATATATGTATAAATAATCAAAATCAAATAAATATTTTTCACAACAAATTATTCGTTTCAAATTAATTAATTTATTAGACAGTATTATTGAAATAAATATTGATTTGAATTAAATACATTTTTTTCAGTGTACTTATTGAAAAATCTCTTTATATAAATATTAATATATAAAAATTAATATATAAAATCGCGCGACAAAAAATATAGATAGCAATTTTGGATCTTCTACGCCTGTTATTTTCTAACGAAACTTTTGATGATACGATGACGGGGTTAAAACTGAAACATCATAACGCTCAACGAAACTAACTTACTATGCGCTTCGTCTATTTTTGTTCGGCAATCGGAGGAAACGGTGAAGGCGCAAACCGCGTGTATATCGCACTGTTACGTAAATATTCGAACGTGAAACGACAAATTAGCCAGGACGATAATCAATCGATACTGGATATGCGATTAAAGTCGGCGTTGCGTCCGGAAACGATCAAATTCGTCGGAGATTACAAACGCACCGTCGTCGACCTTAATCGACTCCACGCGCGCGGCCGAAAATAGAAATCGACTGCGCGTGTTCGGTCGTTTCAAGTGGCTGACATAATCTGCGGCATTTGATGTTTCGCGAAACACGCTTCTCGGGAATCTTGATAATAGCGGGAGAAAGAGAGACAGAAAGAGTGAGACAAAAAAAGAGACGCACCTGATATTCTTTTCTTTTTTGTACATTTGCAGGTTTATTCAGAATAAAGATAAACGGTTACGATGCGACGTACAGCACAAATGGCCGGATTATCGCGCAGAGTCGTTGTATATCGCATCGTATACATCCCTACTGGATACATCTCTTTATTTGGCTGCGACACGTTATCGATCCGCCCGCGCTTATACCGCGGACGCTACGACGACTCTCGCTACGCCAGTCTCTCTGCGGGCTAATGTTGCATTATTTAATACGGTAAATCCTTTTTACGAGAGACGAGCGCGCAAATGGTGCGCGGGGATATATATATCGACGAAATATTTCGGTGAAATATTTCGGCGAAATCCTTCTCCCTTCCGCCATTTCATTCACGCATGAATAATCAATCATGACGAGCGACCTCACAAGTTGGAAAACTCAGCATCGTCCAGATGAGAAGCGAGCTCGCTGGGATTTGTGATGGGTACAGAACACGCATTATGTCGACACACCAAAGTCATCGCCCGACCCTTCTGCGGTTTCAGTTTACTAACGACCTCGTTTTTACGTAACAGCACGTTATCTTGTTGCTCCGGGTCGGCTAACAGAAGCACCCTACCTGGTATCAGCCGCTCGCGGATAACATTCAGCATCTCGATTGTATCCTCGGCGTTCTGTTTCCCCGCGATATAAATCTGGAAAGACAAAATTCGCGCAAACGGTAGAGAAAAAAGAGCAAGATACGTACCTGCGTTCCATTATGATAATCCAGCAACGCCAATGTCAGTTGCGGAAATATAATCGGCATCTCCGTGAGTCCTTTACCAAATGCGGATAGAAGCTTCGCTGCTTTATCCTTTAGCTCGCTACGATCTAAGTAAGCTGCCAACCGCAATAAATTGGAGCATGCGATAGAATTACTGGATGGTTCCGCGCCATCGTGAGCTGCAATCAAATTCATAATACTTTAGATATTTTAAGATAGCTTTTTAGTATTTCGACAGTATCGCGACTAACAAGAATCAGTCTCAAATTTCAATAACATCGTATTCACTTTTTGCTAATTCGGGAACGCTGTATAAGATGTTAGTTCTTACTTTAAAAATATAAATTTGATTTTTATATCTTTCATATTTGGACTTTAATTTTCTTTATTTTCGAACATATAAAGTTGAGATTTGAAAACACGATATAACGACTCTAATTGTAATAAGACATTCAGTAAACGTTATAAATATTTGAATATGATGATCTTTACGGAATGCGGCTTTGCGCTCGATTTCGTTTACTCAACGTAACTGCGCATTAAAGAGTACCTTGCCGTTTAATGGCCAAACTAAAATTACCACAAAAACATGCCGTACCGTCTTTCATCCGTAGAATCATCTGAGAATTCTCAACCGTGGAGAAGTAACCGCCGTCCCGCGAATCCCAGAACAATCGGTCCTGAATATCTTGCAACTCCTCGGCAAACTCTATCCAATGCGGGTCGAAATTAGCCTCGTACAGATCGAGTAATCCCTTCACGACGAATGCGTAATCGTCATGGAAGCCGTGAATCGGGACGCTCCTATAAATCATATCTTGTAGATCTCGCAATGTATGACACCGACACCGAAATAAGACGTCTGTACTCACATTTGCATAATTCTGTCGTCCTCCCCGCGATAACAACTGCGAAGTAGCACACCTTTATTTTTATCAAACAAATATCGCTCCACAAACTTGGCACCGTCCGTCGCTAATTCGACGTACTTGTCATTTCTCACAGCTGCTCCAGCACGCGCAAAGCCACTTATCATAAGACCTGCAAATAGATTGTTAGACTTTGTTCGAAGACATACATCACAAAATAGCGAAATGTCATTCATCATCGACGTCGATTGATCACGATTCCTTACCATTCCACGCTGTGACAATCTTGTCGTCCAAATGAGGCCGCGGCCTTTTCGATCTTTCTTCAAACAAGATCCGACAGGCCTCCTTAATATAATTTTTGGTATTCTCTACACTAATGCCAAAATGTTCCGCGGTTTGTTCTACGCCTTCGTACGCGATAAATACATTTTTGCCAGTGAGTTCGCCATGAGGATCCTAAACCGCCCAACACAAACGTTCACACTTATTTCATAAGTATCTCTCATTTTACAACTTCAATTCTAACGTACTTGAGCCTTTCGCACGTTTCCCTCCTTCTTCACATTGAAATGATGGCAGACGAGATCAGAAAATCGAACGTTGTCGTTATCAGATACTTTTTATCCAAAAGAGTTTTAATTTCCTTATAAGTCCAAACATAAAATGCGCCTTCCTTTTTCGCTGAAGCCTGCGGCTCTGGAAATGAATCGGCGTCCTCTGCACTGTAAAAGCCACCTTCCTAAAAAGAATACACGATATAAATATATTTATTATAACTATTTCTCAAGTCCTTGTTGTTATCGCATTTTTGGAAAAAAAACAAGCGAAAAAACAATATAAATAATACCTTGTGCCGCAGATCCCGTGCAACATACGTTGCAATATCGTCTACAATGTCAGAATAAAATGACTCCTTCGTGACAACGTAAGCATCGGCGTAGACTTGTATTATTTGAGCTTGATCATAGAGCATTTTCTCGAAATGAGGAACATGCCATTCGGCGTCCACAGAATATCTGGAGAATCCCTGAATGCGAAAAAATTATTCAAATAACTTGATTCACGTGTAATAATCGCGAAAGAGAGAGTAAAGAAATAGTCTTACTTGTCCCACGTGATCGTGAATTCCACCGTAAGCCATTTTCGTCAGGGTATGCAGACACATTTCCAAACACTGCTTACGCAACTCGGCGGAGGTGGTTAAAGCATATATACTGAAAAGAAAATTGAAATTAACAGGTTCGGGAAATTTCGGCGCGTTCATCATGGATCTGCTGCCAAACCCGCCAAATTCCGGCTCGTATCCGTTCCCCAAAAGATGAGTGCACAATAAAGCACATTCGGCTGTGGGAAACCCATCCTCTTTCTGCAAAATTACGAAAATTAAATAAATGAGAAAATCAGAATAAAAGCACAACCAAAAATTAAATAATTCGAATCAGATAAAAAAGAATGGAGAAATAATCTTTTAAATTTTTTAAATCTCACTCACCTTTAAGCCTTGTCTGCACTCGACCATATCCTTTAGGCGTTCTACTATATTAGCAGCGGATTTGATTATATTGCTCTTTTGCTGCGCCCACTATAATAGAGAAATCATTTAATCATAAGCCTAATTTCACAACAAGAATAAGATTTAATTTAGAGTACAAATATTTATGTATATAAAGTGTAAATATTATATTTTGCATACCTCTTTCGCAACTCCCAATAAGAGCGATCTAAATCCTATAAGGCCATATTTGTCATTTGGCGGAAAATACGTTCCACCCGTCACCGGCGTCAAATCCGGCGATAGAAAAACACTCATTGGCCAACCACCATGGCCCGACTTTGCCTGTTGAATACAAATATATTTCTGTTAGTATATTCAGTACATTTCACATAATTTTCATATATGTTTAATAAATTCAATAATCAATATCAATATCAACAAGCTAATATTCTCGTTATATAAAACAGATATGTATATTTTGCTATCTATTTTGTTATTTTGTATATGCGAAAGATAATAATCAACAAAATTTATTAGTTATTTCGATAACACGTGCCTGAACAAACGTCATATATATTCTGTCGATGTCGGGCCTCTCCTCCCTATCCACTTTAATATTAATAAAGTTCTCGTTCATGATTTGCGCGATGTCTTCGTTTTCAAACGATTCCTTCTCCATCACGTGACACCAATGACACGTGGAATAACCAACTGATAAGAAAATCATCTTGTCCTCCTTCTTCGCTCTTTCTATAGCTTCATCGCCCCAAGGATACCATTCCACAGGATTGGTCGCGTGTTGTAATAGATACGGCGACTTTTCTAAACTCAAACGATTTAGTTTTTTTGTGCCAGTATGACTGATGTTTTTAGCGCTACTCTTGGATGTCGATGCCATTCTGATGGATGACAGGAAAAGCGATGAATTGCAACTTGATCTGTTTTAAACATATATATTAATATAAAACTTCAAACTTTATAATAATAAATCTAAACTTTTAGAAGATCTGAACTAATTTAAGCCTTATAGAAAGAAAATAGCCTTTATTTCTTATCTAATTCGAAATAATTTATTTAATAAAAATCTTGATCTAATTAGCTTTAAAGTATATGAAACATTTAATAAAGAAAGAGAGTATAAATATCACGTATATTTAAATTATCAAGAAACATTCTTTCTTAAATTTATTTCTAAAAATAGCGTATATTTCTAAAAATTAATTTAATTTAATGCAAATAAGATGTATTAAAATTAAATTATTAATTAATTAAAAGATATCATATATGTGATCTCTTTGAGAGATAAGATTTTTCTATATTGCATATACATATAATAATTGTAATAAATAGTTAAATATATATTGTGTACTCGATACCTGTTAATGTGTTGTCCCACGATAGGAAGAAGAGTACTTTCGATCAGATAAAAACCCGTACGACATCCGTACTGCACCGCACTGCACCGTTTCTTAGATATCTCGGACACGTAGCGAATTCTTGATAAGAGATTGCATCTTCCCGAAGTCATAACACGAATGGCATGGAAAGTATACACTGCAAAGATCGATATTATTGATAATTATATTATATGTAAAAATAATTATTACAATTTAATTAATTAAATAAAATAATTGTTAATGAGCTTTAAATTATTATATTGTGCATATAATGAATAATACTTCTTTCAATAAAAATATTATAAAAACAAACTAATTATTTTTATAGATTAGCTCAATAAATGTTCAAATATGAAAGTTTAAGTTTGATTTATTTATAACATTAATTGTGTAAATGTTATTAACTGCTTTTATAAAAGCAATATATTTTTAATGAAAAGACTATAAAGAAAATCTTAATTCTATAAAAGTTACATACTTTCAGAAAATATTTTTTTATAAATTAAGTCAATATTCTTTTCAAATAAAATATTTTTATTTATATATAGAGGAAATATGTAAAGTAGCTCAAGTTTAATTAATCTTAAATTTTAATTAATCTTAAACTCTGATTAAGATAAATTTAAGATTTTTTTCTTCTAAAATCGTTCTTTTTAATATCTCATTAAAACAATGTGGTTTAAATAAATTATATTATAAGCATGTATATTCAACGATTTCAATAAAAATTAATTTTAATTATATTTGTGTTCATATAAATAACAAAAAGTATATATTAAAGCGAAAGCAGATACATCGCGCGCGAAAATTAAATATTTTAAAAATATGAAATATATTATAATACAAACATTGGCAAATCAAAATGCGTTTTAATATAGACTTGAAATCTATTATCACAAAATTAAGATTTCGAATGGGACACCCGGTACATGCAAATTAAAAAAGAAAAATGGCGGATCTACATTCTACGCAGCGATTCTCGCGCCATGAATCGGCGATATTCTCGGACATAATCGACCATCGCAAAAATCGCTCGAAAATCGTCTAATCAGATCTAAAAAGCGTTAAACTAATCAGCCGTGCGAGATTAGATAAAATGTAATTGACCGATAAAAGACGACATATATGTATGTATATACATACAGAATTCGCTGCGTCCGGTCTGGCAGAGATCCGTGCGTGCATTCCTCGAATTTTTTACTGACAATGAATTTACTGCCAGATGGCGTGTAAAATTAATTCTGGCGCGCTTTTACGATATACGATATATGCATTGAAGAGCTTTTACAATGCGCGCGAAATCACCTAAGAAATAACGGAGGAAACGCACTGCGAATTGTCATTAAATAGTGATAGATATATGAAAACTTTTATTTAAATTAAAACTTAGATTTAAATTAACATGAAACATCTCCTTTTCTCATCATTAGATAATAATAAATCTGACACAATGCAAATGAGAAGTCATATATATATATGCAGATGTTAATCGCAAAGTTTGTCAAACAGTCGTTTTATATTTTAATATCATAATATTATTTCGATCGGACAGAAATGTATATATATATAAAAATCAGCCATTTATTTAATTACTTATATAAAACGTAAACTATATGACAAAGAGTCATTTATTTTCACACTAGATGGTTCACAAACCAAGTGTATTATTTCGATATTACAACTAAATGTTGAATGTATAAAGATCTCTAACATGAAATCAATGTTGGAGCGAAATTTGTTGTGCTGAAAACGCTACGATTTTCGAATCTTTGGATCTCAATAATCAATGTTTCCAGGAACAACTTATTCTTCGCTCCAAAATTATGTGATCGATTATATTTAGAATATATATCATTCCCGAAACCGAACGAAAAATAAATATAAGAGAGCGGGAAAAAAAGATTATATATCTAACCTGGAACAATAGAGACGTCTTATGGTCGGAAATATCCGCATCTTAGAATGACAGCTACGTCTCGCGATCAACAGATCAATAAGCACCAAAGGATTTAAAAGACTAGCCACGTGCGTCCGCAGCTGTCATGCACTATTTACGTTTCCAGATGATCCGCAAAAAGAGGCTCGTCGTTGTGCGTGCTCCGAAACATCGAATGACTCTGTGAACTGTGAATCAATATATAATATAGATATACATATAAACAAACCTACGTGACCTACACGAAGTTATGCGCGCTCCGAAAGACACTTTCCCGCGTCTCTCTCATATAGGCGGATTTTCAAAATTCCGAAGAAAGAAAATTAATTTAAAAAAAATTAAATCTATTCTCTCCTACGAAATATATGAAAATTTTATATGCAATTTTTTTGTATATATAAATCTTTTTCTTCCATTACTGGCTTCCAAAACATATGTTAAATGTGTAGAAAATTATTTTTTGACAGTGTGGTAGCCCTGAATTAGGAATTTTTGCTTTCGTCACACAAGATTCCTAAAGTCAATTCAGCGTTGCGAGGTTAGTCCATATCTGTCAAACCATCATTTTCGACAAATTTCAAATAATGCGATAATATTGTGAAAATATATTCCTTCTCACGTGATTTTTAGATTAGCGATTTATTAAAAGGAAACTCGAAAGACGCGCATCGCGACTGACAATGGCAGCCATACACCGGGAGGCGATACAAAAACAAATTCAACAGGACTGGGCTAATCGCGAATACATAGAAGTTATCACTGGCAGTATTAAAAAAATTACGGACTTCCTCAACTCTTTCGGTAATTTGTCAAATTCTAAATTTTTATTCTTGCTAGTAAACTGATATATATATATATATATATATATATATATATATTTAACATTCAGGTATATTATTTTTCAATACTCTCTTATATATACTATATATATTCAATCTTCTTTCTTTTAGATATGTCTTGTCGCTCAAGGATAGCAGTCCTCAATGAAAAGCTCACGACCCTTGAACGAAGAATCGAATATCTAGAAGCATGCGTAAGTGATCCTTCATGTTAACATTTAATTTATAGGTAGACAGTATTACACTGTGCAAAATATTTTTCTTTCAATTTTTAATTGAATCTTTAAGTGGCACCTACTAATATAACATTTTTGTTTGCTATGTTAATAATTGTATTTATTTGACAGGTCACAAAGGGTGAAACATTGACATGATTTCTCTATGTATAATGCACGGATATATCCTTTTACAACCCTTTATATTTACTGTACTATCTAAATAAATACAAGATGAAAATAAAAGATAGATCTTTTGTATCGTTTTATATCATCAATAATATAGTATAACATACCTCCATTTTAATTTTATGCATCAACACTAATTATTTTCTTTATGTATATAAAAGATCATCACTCCCAGGGCCTACGTCCTCTAACATCCTTGACGATGGTAAAATCAAGTGGGATAGTAGTGTGTTGACTGAATATATCGTCCATTGGGAAAAGTTTCTCGCCAATGAAATCACTATGCTTCTTAGCGATGGCACATGCAATTAATGCGACAGTGAAATTATGACTGAGTATAGGCTTTTTCTGCCAATGATAGAAGACTCCACCTGTAGCTAACGCTGCAACAGAAACAACAAAACTTGATAATTAGTGTTCCTGAAATAACTCGCATTTGATATTTATACATTACATACAAGCTAGAACATAGTTGGCGTAGCCATCTTTTCCTCTAATTTTTGTCACTGCATATGCCACAGAAGCAAAAGTAGCGCACATGCCAGTAATCGGCAGCACCCAATAAGACATAGTATTTAATGCTTGCCAGAAGGTGTACGACTGAGATACTATTATACAATCGTATCCACCGACAAGGACGCTAGTGTAAAGTCCATATTTACTCAGCCCGATTATCTTCTCAAAGGGCTCCTGACCTTCAGGCGCATTGCTGTATTTCCACTTATCTAGGTATTGAATTAACATGGTTGTGGCTAAAACACAGTAATATCATAAATGAATATTGTATAACAAAAGATATCTGTAAATGTTTATATCTCTTCCACACCCTATTATATTTTGGTATTCAATAACAGATTAAGTAACAATTTGTCAATCTTCGGTCAATCAATAGTTATACATATATCTATAACATATCTCTGTATTAACTGATAATGACGAATTCTAACTCTATGCAAAATTAAACATAGATATAAAAATTACATTGTTTTGATATTACAATAGATTATTTAGTAACAATTTGTCAATCTTATAGAGTTATACATATATCTATAACATATTTCTGTATTAACCGATAGTGACAAATTCTAACTCTATGCAAAATTAAAAATAGATACAAAAATATTACATTGTTTTGATAACAATAATTACGTACATACTGTGAATAATTTAGATCTCGTCGATTTAATTCGCCATAAGCGAACAGCGACAGGTCAGATAAGTCTCAGGTTATGTCACCCTGCAAGTGAAAAAAGAAATCCAATGCAATCCAGTATACAATAAACGAATATTTTTCTCGCAAGATTCACGTACGGAAAATTATTGTAAATTGTTCACTATATTACGTAATGTCGACTATTCATTCAAGTTCTCTCCGCGAACAAATCGACCGATCTAAAGAGTGCATTCGAAAATTCATTCACGGGAATGAAACAGCATTTGATCGACCAATGAGAATACAGGAAATGCAGACTTCTTCGTTCTGATTGGTCGAGCAAATTTAAATTACCTGAAAGGTAGATTTCCGAACGCAGTCTTACGTCCTTGGCTTTCTCTTTAAAATGACAAGTTCTCGTTCTCAATAAACGTAGGAAAGAAAATAATAATTAATATTGAAATTTTCAATTAATTTTTGGAATTGTGTAATATTCAAAGCTTTATATTGCGCTATATTTATTATATAATTATATTTTATCTTTTGCGTGTTGCCAACTGTGAAACTTCAGTTGTGATCGGGGAGGAGGGTGAGTCAGTGTCAAAAGGACAGATTTTTCGAGGATTTCGTATATTATAATCGCTAAATTATTGCAGTTCCAATTAATCGCAAAATGTTGCATGTAATTGCGAGACGAATGCCTTTACAGGTGTGTACGCAGAATTAATTGTATGTATTATATGTACACAATTAATAATAATAATAATACAAAATACAAATTACAAATAATAATAATAATAATAATACACACAATATGAATAATACAATAATTAATATAATTAATTGTGTCCCAGCAAACACCGATATATAATTGTTACTTTGTTATAATAAAACGGAATATAACAGGTAATATAACGTGTACGTTACATGTAACATCCATGTTAGTTGTAATTTCCCACTCATAGATGTAACATTTTAATATAACATATATTACATTGTAGTTATATTGTAATTATATACCAAATAGCACATTGATGTATTGATAAGTCAGTGCTATCTTGGGATATAATGACAATATAACTACAATGTAATATATGTAATATTAAAAATGTTACATCTATGAGTGGGAAATTACAACTAACATATACATTACATGTAACATGCTTAATAACATTTATATACTGTGTTTGCTGGGGTAATTATATGTACACAATACCAAAATAATTGAGTCGCATTTTGTTAGAATTGTTTAGTTAATTCCAAAAGCAATAATCTCTCTGCTTGAATTGAACCTTTGACATTCAATTATTACTTTCAGGCAATAACAATTGTTCCTTTACGAACGTTGAGTGCAGAAGCTTCGAATATTAATCAATCTGTTGTGAATACTAATGTGCCAGGCCTCAGTGAAAATGTCGTCAAAGTACCCAACGCACGTAAGATCAAATATTATCAATCTTATAAATGTTTGCTACGATATATTGAAAAATTCTAGTTTTTAAAGTTAAATTTATCTATTAGCTGTAGGACCTGGAGCATCCAAAGATAAGGAGTACAAGAATCCTGAATATTTCTGCTACACAACAGATTCATTTGGAGAAGCTGAAGTAGAATTAGCAAAATACAGATTACCAGTACCATCTAATAAGAAACCGTTCAATAGGTAGATAAATTAAAAATAAAAGTCTTACATGTAGCGAGAAATAATAATTATAAAATAAATAAAATAACAAATTTAATCAAATAAGATGTAATATAAAAAGAGGTAATAATGAGAAAAAGCTTATGCAAAATTACTATGTACTGTCAAAAAAAGAGTAGATTATATTATTCATCTATGTACATAGAATTTCCATATTTCTTTTTTTAGAAAAAGAATTGTACATCTTGTTTAAACAATTACTAAGAGTATATAATGGGCATACAATTTTTTGTTTATCATTCTTTAATTTTTTAAATTCAATTTTTTAATTTTGTTATTTTAATATTAAATAAACTTGCAAATAAATTCCAGTATTTATTCACAAGGAGAGCAAATGCTTAATTGTTGAAGAAAAAATAGCGGAAAGGGTATGCAAAACTTTAAACTGAAATCGTTTATTTTTAAATTTGCAATTTCTCACGTGAACTTTAAATCACGAGCATTGTGAAGTCAGTCGCGGTTGAGAAGCGCTGACTTGTTTACGTAAGATTACGAACTCATCCGAAGCATTGAATCGGACGAAGGCCGAAGTCTCCCGGTCCCTCCTTATCGGAAATCACACAGCTGATGACTGTTTCATGTAGAAACGTACCATCCATGTGTGATTTCTTTGGTCCATGGTATAAACGCGCAATGCGTATACCGACCGACACCGGTGTCACGTAGCGACATAGTGATCGTCAACAGACGTCATCAAGTCGGAATTCACTCGCGCGAGAATCGACGTGACATATTTATATTCATCCGGGAAGATCGAAGTTCGAGACGGCGGTAATCTTTCAATCATTGGCGCCGATTATCGCCGGGATCTACCTCCCGATCTCTTTTTTTCTACCCTTCGTGTTAACAAACACGTAAGCAAGTGCGCACAGTGTTTGCGTTCGTGCCCGCGTTTTTATCTCTCTCTCTCTCTCTCCACGGATCGGAGATCTCGGGCGTGTGCGTTCATTCTTTTCGTTCCCTCGAGCGAGGATACAACGGTGCGAGTGCGTGCTCCAACATATGCTCAGACATGTCGTTCGTAGCGCGGAATCGTCTCTTATCGGCGCTCGGCGTCGCGCAACGTCTCGTCGTTCCTGTCAAACACGCGCACGTCGCGCGCCCTGCATACTCATCCGTTTGTCACAGGAATGCAGCCTATCGCAGGTGAGATTCCGCACGTAGATATATCTCTTTCGAATTTACCTGCGCCGTTTTCTCTGAGGAAAGAAAGTTGAGCAAATAGAAAAATATTTGCATACCGTATATAATATACAAATTAATTGTACATGTATATATATATATATGATATAATATTAATTTACATGTTATATAAAAATTCTATATTAACCATATTAATTAATGTGTGAGACTCATCGTCCAATAATTATTGTTGCAAATAAGACTCGTCAAATAATTATTTTGCAAATTATCTTTCATTTATGTACTCATGCATAATTATATGAATAATTATAGATAAAACAGACATATTTATCGCTTTGCAACACAAATTATTTGACGAGTCTCACATAGTTAGAATTTTTGTAAACTATATATATATATATATTTTCCCTATCATAATGTTATTATAACAATTAATAATTAATTTGCACGTAATTCTATGGAGAAATGAAAAATGATAAATAATATATATATATATTTTGTAAAACACATCGATTATCAAGAAGATGACAGATGGCACAATCGCAAAGTATTTTTTTCATAAATAGATAATAAAACATAAAAGGTCACCCAAAAATAAAACAATAATAACTAAAAAAGAGGTCGACTAAACTGGCAATAATATTTATTACATTGTTTAATATAAGTACGAAGTTGGATTGTACTTATATTAAACAGTGTAATAAATACTTGCCAGTTTGGTCGACCCCTTTTTTTTAGTTATTATGGTTTAATTTTTTTCTTTTATTTTTCTTACTTTTAATTTATATTTCAAAAGTACATTGCTTGTATGAAAGCAACGTTATATAAACATATGTGAAAATCACGCTGAGAGCGTTTTTAATGGACAGCTATAAGCTCTGTTGATTTTTTACGATACGTATCTTGATCATATGATCGTCAATATAGATATGCACAATGATTAACGGGAAGCGTTCTTTATTAGAATGATTTACTAAAGGTCACTCGAGAAAATATACTTATTCCACAAGGAATTCCATTGGAATTCAAGTCCAAATTTATTTCTATATGTTGCGTATATAAAATATTCTTCATAAAATCAAACTAAAAATCTCTTAATTTTTAAGATATATGATATAAATAAATATACGTGACACATTCTTTGCTAATTGTATAAATGCCTAAATTAATTTAAATATATATATATTTCTATTACAATTGATTAATTAAACTTTCTTGTCTATCAATATAGCACGATCGATAAAAATTAATTAGCTTGTAAACTGTTGATCCAGCTATTTTCCAAAATATGAAATTTTTAAATTTTATTCGAATAAAGTCTGTAATTTTGTAAATATAAAGTATATTTTGTTTAAAATATTTTGCGGCATGTTATATATAATTATATAAGAAAATGTAAAAGCATAATTTTATTAACAAAGAAACTTAAATACGTAGAAAATTTTAGAGTACCTACAATATCAAAAATTCTATATAATTAAATTTTCGACATAATTTTAGTAAACTCTTTTTATATCATTGAAATTATATTTTAATAATCGATCCGATCTCTAGAATAACCAGACATTTTCAATCGAGTGCATTTATGTTTAAATTAAATATTTGTACATTATTGATAGTTGGTTAAATAATTCAAAAGAGATATTATACTGAATGCACAACTTATATTTATATAATCGTAAAATATGTGCTTTATCAAAAAATGTCTATAGTAATATGCTAAATAGAAAAAGTGCGCTAAGTCACATTAAGAAACTTAATAGTTATTAATAATAATTTTACGTTAAAACATAATACATATATATACATAATACATATATATGCTTGCGTGCAAATAAATATACACAAATATACATATTCACTTTTCCATGGACGCACATAAACACTTACGATAAAACTTAATAGTTGTGGCTCGTGCCAAGGATAATGATAATGCATATTTTTTTAAATACCTGACTCTTATCTTACACGATATTCTCTATGAGATAATTTGTCAAAATCGACAATATTCGGCACATTGAAATATACTTTATTGTTAGATCGAGGATAAGGCCTGTTTATTTTTCTCGACGTATTCTCCTTTATATTCGCTCGCTCGTGTCAGACGCGACATATATAATCCTTTTTTAGATTATTATGCACGATTATGTTATCAGATAGAATATTTTAACTGCCGATAAGTAACCTTTAACATTCCATGTGATACATTTTGATTAGCATATCCTTTCTATCCTTTTGCTACATAGTGAGCAAACAAAGATTCTGGCACTGTTGAAATTTAACAAGATCCATAAAAATTTTTGTTTCGAGATTATTAAAAATGGTATTAAATAATGAATAAATTTTTTTTTATTGATAAAGACTTATTACAGAAATTTTATAGAATATTCAAATGTATATATGTATAGTGTACATATCAGAAATTTTGCGCTTACTTATATAATCAACATTATTTTAATATAACATTGAAATTATTTTTTAATTAAAATATAGAAGCATATATATCATTTCTAAGATTTTTATGATTTAATATTTTTATTTCTTCTCATTATAGCTATATTGAATTTATTAAAAACGTACCGTACATATATTTTCTATAAATAAGTTTCAAATGATATAAAGAAAGAAGAATAATAAGAAGAAGAAAGAATCTCGGATATTAAGTATATTAGTTGGAGGATAATTTTCTAGAATATATTTGAATGAAAAAAATTATTAATCATGCAAATTCAATAAAGATTTTACTTACCTATAGAATTTACATAAAAATCAAAATTTTTAAGAAAAATGTCACATTTTTTGTGAAAAATTTAAATTTTTTGTATATTTGATAATTATTAATATATATACGATGCTTATTCGATCTTGCATTAAAATTGCAAGTGCAAAACTACAGGTAGAATTATAAATAAAACTAGATTGTTTATGCACACGAGTTTGATAATTAATTAATACTTACGCATGCAGATCGCGCTTATCAATTGATAAAATATGATATCTTCAAATACTAAAAGTCATTTTATTTTATTTCTGACAAACTTTTGCAATTATTGGGAAATTATAAATATTTCATTTTCCAATATAACATCGTCGAATGTGTATTCGTAAAAATAAAATTTACTAAAATTTTCATAAATAGGAAAATGAGGATATTTTCAGAAAAACTCGTTATTAAGATAGATTTCATTGTGTGTCTTCAATGAAAGATTTCAATCAATCTTTCGTATACCTGATGCTAATCTTTCATCTACATTTATCGCTTCGATCATGATATTAATAAACTCCTGTTTACTCATATCAGGAGCACAATGTATCCGCGTTTGCGTGGCACGGTTGATCGCAATCTTTATGGTCTCTTGAGTTTTTATTTCCTCTTCCGGTTGTTCATCTTGACTCTGCTCGAGAAACTCGCCAGAGTTACTGCATCACATGTTCAAAGCTAAACAAATCGCTCTATCGAATGTAAATAACAAACTGCGTAGAATACAAAAAAACTTACACAAATACAAATTAAATTATAAAAACAATTTAATTGTTTTCATTTAGACTGCTCTGAATAACACACATACCCATATACAATTTTAATTAATCGATATACATAATTTTTAAATAAATTCGCTTTTCATGATAAAATATTATAACAAGCTTAATCAATATTAATAAATTGCATAATTATCGAAATATTTGAATTATTTTCAAAAACACGGCTTAAATAATATATATATGTATAATGTAATCTATTATAATTAATATAAATTAATATACTAATATTGAGACAATCTTGAAGAGATTATACTCAATGGCAAAGTTAATATATTATGCAATTTTATATATGAATTATATATACAAAAAAAATATATATATATATATATGTATATACCTCTTTGACATTTGCATTAATATGTAGTTGAATTTTCTATTATGTTTGAAATGCAAGGTTAAAATGACAATGAGTATACATGACATTTACGTGACAATCGCACGAATTCAATGTGTAAATGCAAGTACGCAGTTTATCATACAAAATACATACATGTGTATTTTGTTATTCTAATGAGCGAGTATAGGTATATATACCAAAGCACACAGAACGATATTTTCAGTTTCGAGTCCTCTTGAGTTACGTTAAAACCCAAATTCAAGAAGAAAATACAAAACGTAAAAGTTATCAAATATAAATCCTATAAACAAAAGTTTTCGTTTCATGATTTTTTATTAAATAATTCTCTTTTTCGCGTATAATTTATCGTAACATTTTATTTATTATACAGTATGTTAGAAAAAAGGATAAAATATTTTAAGGGGATTTAGTATGCCTAAAAACAAGTCGAAAAGTCTTAATAAACATGAGTCCGCAAATAAATTGTTTTCGAGATATTTTTAATTTAATTATATATATATATATTATTTTATATAAAAAAATTAAAAAAATTAATTAAAAAGGTCTCAAAAACGGTTTATTTGCGGACTCATGTTTATTAAGATTTTTCGACTGATTTTTAGGCATACTAAATCCCCTTAAAATATTTTACCCTTTTTTTAACACCCTATAGAAACGATATCATCGTTGTCTGTTATTTATTCCAATTACTATATTGAAGATTTGTAAAACTTTTTTTAGAACGCTGGAAAATAAAATCCTAATGGCTAAGTACGCGACAACCACATCATTAACAAACAAGGATGAAATCCGCGAATTAATGGCTCTATGGCCTGACGTGGTTCGCGATATCACGGAGTCCAAGATCTCAGAAATTCCAGAAATTTCCAAATGGATTGCAAAAGTAAGTGAGTATAATATAATGTGTACATACAAGATAATAAAATTTAAAAATAAAAATTATAAACGAGAGACTTATTTATTCCAGCGATAAAGTTTATTAAAATGAGTTGTTATGAAAATATATAAGAATTTTAAAAGGAGAAACGTAATAAACAGTGTTGTGCTTAGATGATTTTAAAATTAACTAGATAAAGATGAGATAAAAATATGTAAATTTATCTTATTGTTAGATAAGATAAAGATGATTTTGTTTTAAATATATCTAGATAAAAGATAAAATTATATGGCGATTTATCTAGATAATTTTCTCGATAATAATAATATTTACTCTATTTATTTTAAGACTTTTTATGTAAACACAATTATAAAAAAATATAAATTATAAAAAATATATAAAAATATATGTATATTCATATTTTTATTTATAAATTTTTATCGTTTACTACTTAAGTTCTACTATTTAAGTATTTTTATGTGCTATGTTTCTAAACCAAAATTATCTGAAAAGTATTCTAAATAATATAGTAAAAACAATACTTTTTTTATCTAAGATGCAGATATAGATAATACATATTTTTATTATCTATATAAAGATAAGATGACGTCCAAGTTTCCACTAGATGATTATCTATATAATTTTATTTAGATAACAGCAAACACTGGTAATAAATATACGAAATTAGTATAAAATTGAATATAAAAAATAAAAACCCGTACTATTTTACGAAAATAGTCTTTGCCTAAAAAACTATATATGTATATAGTTAAGACAGAGACATTGAAGCAACAAGTCATAAATTTGAATGAATGCGTGCAGATTACATTTCTATTATTCTTCAGGTATTGCAGTACAATGTTCCAGGAGGGAAAAAAACTCGCGGTATGGCATTAATTTATGCGTATAAATTATTGGCCCCCAGCGATCAACTTACGGAAGAAAACATCCGCCTAGCACGAATTTTAGCCTGGTGTTTGGAATTGGTGCGTAAATTTGTTCTCATTTATTATGATGCATCTTTCATATAAAAGAATTTAAATTAATTGAAGAATAAGATATGAAAACGCTTTTGACATGGAAGATTAAAAATATCAATTATCAATCATAATTTATATTTTCTTTGAAAAATATATATATATTTTTTTATTCAGTCTATAATTGATAACATTTATATTATCATTTTTATTCAAAATTTTAATTAATTTCTATATATATAATCTGAAATAAAAATGTAAATTATATGTGTATCACGTGATATTATATTAAATATTTACAACAGGTGGCATCTTTTATTCTCGTGTACGACGATATCCAGGACAGATCATTAATTCGTCGAAATCAACCATGTTGGTATCTACATAATGATATAGGTTTAGCGGCCATTAATGATGGTCTATTGATGGAATGTGTTGCGAATTCACTAATTAAGAAACATTTCAAAGGAAAAGAATATTATATGGATATAGTAGAAACATTCCAAGAAGTAAGTGAAGATATGTCTCTTTTGATTATATTGTAACATGAAAATACTATATCTTTTTATATGTAAAAATATATTTTTCAGATTATATTGATGACAGCAATGGGCCAAGCTTTAGATATGTTCTCCACCAATTTTGGAAAAAAGCCGAATCTAGATCTATATACAATGGATCGATACAATAACATTGTCAAGTACAAATGTTCGTATTATACCTATATTTTGCCAGTAACTTTAGCAATGCATTTAGTAAGTGTACTTCAGTGTCTTTATATATAAATAGATACTGCCTTGTGGTTTTTAAGAATAATAATACTAAAAGTACTGTGCGATACGTTATATAGGCTGGCGTAAGAGATCCGGAAAAGTTGAGGCAAACGAAAACGATTTTACTTGAAATGGGACATTTCTATCAAGTACAAGATGATTATCTAGGGTGCTATGCGAAGTCTGAAGTCGTAGGCAAAACTAGTACTGACATACAAGAAGGGAAATGTACATGGCTGATTGTTATGGCACTTCAACGTGCTACATCAGAGCAACGTAAAATTTTAGAAGTGAGTATTATTTCTTAAACAAATTGCTTTGTGTGTGTGTGTATGCTGTTGCATTAATTATTTTTTCTCATTGTTATTACATAGGAATGTTATGGATCATCAGATCCAGAGAAAGTACAACGTGTAGTGCAAATTTACAATGATCTGGGTTTGCCAAATACATATTCCATGTACGAAGAAGAGACATATAATCTGTTAGTCACTCATATACAGCAAATGTCACGTGGTCTACCACATGATCTTTTCCTGATATTATTGAATAGGATGTATCGTAGACAGCACTGAAAGTGTCACTTGTGCATTAAAGAAACAGATTAACGTGTATTCAGAATATAGAATTAAAATCAATGAACAAGATGTGTTCTGACATTGTCTGAGAATATCTATTTTTATCTCTATTTTATATTTTACATGTCTAAATATTATTTTTAATAAGTGAAAAATATTAAAAATTTTGTATAAAAACTTTATAACTTTATAAAAAAATGCACAAGGAAATATTTCACTCTACGGTTAAAATGGCAATAAAAGATTTTTATAAAAATTTAACATTATTTCTTAATGGTTTCCTTCTACTGCATAAATAGCTTTACATTTAGAAATTGTATTAAAATAATTTTTTCTAAATGTAAAGCTTTTCTAAAAAAAAATCTTAGATGCAGTTATATTTTTAAAAAATTTCTGACTCTTATCTTACACGATATCCCCTATGAGATAATTTGTCAAAATCGACAATATTCGGCACATTGAAATATGCTTTGTTAGATAGATAATGTCTATTTATTCTTCTCGACGTATTTTCCTTTCTATTCGCTCGTTCGTTTCAGATGCAACATATATAATTCTTTTTTAGATTATTATGCACGATTATGTTATCAGACAGAATATTTTAACTGCCGATAAGTAATCTTTAACATATTCCATGTGATACATTTTGATTAACCTTTCCTTCCTATCCGTTTGCCACATAGTGAGCAAACAAAAATTCTGTTGAAATTAAGCAAGATCCATAAATATTTTTGTTTCGAGATTATTAAAAATGATATTGAACAATGAATAAATTCTTTTCTTATTGATAGACTTATTATAAAAATTTTATAGAATATTCATAAATGTATATAGTGTATATTATCAGAAATTTAGCGCTTACTTACAGTCAACATTATTTTAACATAAATATAGTTTTTTTATTTCATTGAAATTATTTTTTAATTAAAATATAGAAGCATATATATAATTTCTAAGATTTTTATGATTTTTATTTCATTATAGCAGCTGTTTTGAATTTATTAGAAACGTACGATACTTAATTCCTATAAATAAGTTTTAAATTCTCTCTGAAAAGATATAAAGAATGAAGCTAATCTCGGATATCAAGTATATTAGTTAAAGGATTAATTTTCTAAAATATATTTGAATGAAAAAATGATTAATCTTGTAAATTCAATAAAGATTTTACTTACTCATAGAATTTACGTATAAATTAAAATTTTTAGGAATAATGTTAATTCATGACATATATATACATACATATATTATTCGTGACAAGGAATTACAGGTCCTGCTCGATTTCTGCCGCCAATATCTGCTATCAGATTGTATTATTTGACCGATCAGCTCGGTTTCTGCCGCCAATTTTCCATTAACTATATTGTGCAGATCTGCTCGGTTTTTACCGCTAATTTGATGTCAGATTTGCTTACTACTTATGCTAGCAGAATGTCATCAATTGCGGACACAGTGGACAGGAATCTGCTTTAAAAATCATGATTGGATTTGCTGTCATATTGCCGACATTTTACTAACATTTTGCTATCTGGGTTAATACATATACTTATTCGATGCTATTTTCAATTTTGCATTAAAATGGCAAATGCAAATAAAAATAGATTGTTTATGCAAACGAGTTTGATAATTATAATTAATACTTACGCACGCAGATAGCGCTTATCAACTGATAAAATATTATATCTTCAAATACATTAAGGTCACTTCATTTTATTTTTGACAGATTTTTGCATTATTGGGAAATTATAAATATTTCATTTTCTAACAATATAACATCGTCGAATGTGTGTTTGCAAAAATTTACTAAGATTTTCATAAATAGGAAAATGAGGATATTTTTAGTAAAACTCACTATTAAGATAGATTTCATTGTGTGTCTCCAGTAAAAGATTTCAATCAATCTTTCGTATACCTGATGATCTTATTTCATCTGTATTTATCGCTTCGATCATGATATACTAATAAACTCCTGTTTACTCATGCATATCAGAAGCACAATGTATTCACGTTTGCGTGGCGCGGTCGATCACAATCTTTATGGTCTCTTGAGTTTTTATTTCCTCTTCCGGTTGTTCATCTTGGATCTGCTCGAAAAACTCGCCAGAGTTATTGTATCACATGTTTAAAGCTAAACAAATCACTATATCTAATGTAATTAAATAACAAACTTACGTAGAATACCAAAAAAACGTACACAATATACAAATTAAATTATTAATATCTGTATGTTAAATAGTTGCCGATAAATTGATACAAACAATTTAATTTTGTTTTTTATTTAAACTACTCTAATCAACACGCATTCTAGTGAGAAATGATTCGACGAATTTGACATCGATATTCGACAACGAATCGACGTCGATTCAATCATCATTTCTCACTGGGACACATATATATACAATTTTAATTTAATTTATATACATGATTTTTAAATAAATTCGCTTTTCATGATAAAATATTATAACAAGCTTAATCAATATTAATAAATTGCATAATTATTGAAATATTTGAATTCTTATTCTTAAAAGCACGGTTTAAATAATGTATATATGTCTAACGTAATGTATTATATATATCTATATATTAATATTAATATATTGACTCATAACGAGATTATATTCAATGGAAAAGTTAATATATTTACATTTTGCAATTTTATATATATATATATATATATATATATATATATATATATTTATATATATATATATATATATGTACCAAAGCACACAGAACGTTATTTTCAGTTTCGAATCCTCTTCTGTTACGCTAAAACCCAAATTCAATAAAGTAAACGTAAAAGCTATCAAATATAAATTTTATAAACGTTTTATAAAAGTTTTCGTAACACTAGAAAGTAAATTTCGAATGGCTAATTACGCGACAACCAGATCATTAACAAACAAGGAAGAAATCCGCGAATTAATGGCTCTGTGGCCCGACATAGTTCATGATATCACGCAGTCCCAGATCTCATCAATTCCAGCAGAGATTTCCGAATGGATTGCAAAAGTAAGCGTGTGTAATATAATGTACAAGATAATAAAATTACATAATAAAATTTAAAAATAAAAATTATAAACAAAGAGACTTTATCTTATTTTACAGCGATTAAGTTTATTAAAATGAGTTGTTATGAAAATATAAGAATTTAAAAAGTAGAAACGTAATAAATAAGCAAAATCAGTGTAAAATTGAATTTAAAAAATAAAAACTATAGTATTTTATAAAACTAGTATTTACTTGGAAAACTGTGCACAGTTCACACAGAGACATTGAAGCAACAAGTCAAAAAATTATAATGAATGTACAGATTACATTTCTATTATTTCTTCAGGTTTTGCACTACAATGTTCCAGGAGGAAAGAAAACTCGCGCTATGGCATTAATTTATACGTATAAATTATTGGCACCCATCGATCAACTTACGGAAGAAAACATTCGCCTAGCACGAATTCTAGCCTGGTGTTTGGAACTGGTGCATAACTTTATTCTCATTCATTATGCACTTTTCATATAAAAGAATTTAAATTAAATAAAAAATAAGATATGAAAACGTTTTTAACATGGAAGATTAAAAATATCAATTATCAATCATAAATTTATTTACTTTAAAAAATGTCAAATATATATATATATAAAATAAAGTATTACATCATCATTTATTTTATAAATGATGATTTCACTAATGATTTGATCGTATGACAGAGTGCAGTCTTCAGTAGTGCAAAATTTTTTAAAGTATTTTTAAAAATTGGCGTCCATAATTTTTTTATTCAATCTATATAATTGATAATATTTATGTTATCATTTTTTATTCAAAATTTTAATTAATTTCTATATATATAATCTGAAATAAAAATGTAAATTATATGTGTATCACGAAATATATTAAATATTTATAACAGGTGGGATCTTTTATTCTCGTGTACGATGATATCCTGGACCAATCACTAATTCGTCGAAATCAAACATGTTGGTATCTTCATAATGATATAGGTTTAGCGGCAATGAATGATGGTCTATTGATGGAATGTGTTACGAATTTACTAATTAAAAAACATTTCAAAGGAAAGGAATATTATATGGATATAGTAGAAACATTCCAAGAAGTAAGTGAAAAGATGTCTCTTTTGATTATATTTTAACATGAAAATACTACAATATATCTTTTTATATGTAAAAATATATTTTTCAGATTATATTCATGACAGCAATAGGCCAGGCTATAGATATATTCTCCTTCAATTTTGGAAAAAAGCCGAATCTAGATCTATATACAATGGATCGATTCAATAACATTGCCGAGTACAAATGTTCGTATTATACGTATATTTTGCCAGTAACTTTAGCAATGCATTTAGTAAGTGTACTTCAGTTTCTCTATATATAAATAGATATTGCTTTGTGTTTTTCAAGAATAATAATACTAAAAGTACTGTGCGATACGTTATGTAGGCTGGCGTAAGAGATCCGGAAAAGTTGAGGCAAACAAAAACGATGTTGCTTGAAATGGGACACTTCTATCAAGTCCAAGATGATTACATGGGGTGCTATGCGAAGTCTGAAGTCGTAGGCAAAACTAACACTGACATACAAGAAGGAAAATGTACATGGCTGATTGTTATGGCACTTCAACGTGCTACATCAGAGCAGCGTAAAATTTTAGATGTGAGCATTATTTCTTAAACAAATTGTTTTGTATATTTGTGCTGTTGCATTAATTATTTTTTCTCTATGTTATTAACATAGGAATGTTATGGATCATCAGATCCAGAGAAAGTACAACGTGTAGTGCAAATTTACAATGACCTGGGTTTGCCAAATATGTATTCCATGTACGAAAAAGAGACATATAATCTGTTAGTCACCCATATACAGCAAATGTCCTGTGGTTTATCACCTGATCTTTTCCTGCTATTATTGAATAGGATGTATCGTAGGAGGAACTAAAAGTGTCACTTATGCATTCGAGAAACAGATATTCAGATTGTAGAATTAAAGTCAATGGACAAGATGCTTTCTGTCAATGTCTGAGAATATCTATTTTTATCTCTATTTTATATTTTACATATCTAAATATTATTTCTAATAAGTGAGAAATATTAACAATTTATTATACAATTTATTTATTAAAAACTATAATTTTATAAGAAATGCACAGGGAAATATTTCACTCTACGATTGAAACGGCAATAAAACATTTTTATATAAATATTTATAGCATTATTTCTTAATGATTTCCTTCTAATGCATAAAAAGCTTTGCATTTAGAAATTGTTAAAAGATTTTCTTCTAAATGTAAAGCTTTTCTAAATGTAATAATAAGCTTTTCTAAAAAAACTATATATATATATATATATATATATATATGTCGCGTCTAAAACGAACGAGCGAATAGAAAGGAGAATACATCGAGAAGAATAAACAGGCCTCTTATAGTCGATTTATAATTCATATTTCAATGTGGCGATCGAATATTGTCAATTTTAACAAATTATCTCATAGAGGATATCGTGTAAAATAAGAGTCACGTATTTAAAAAAAATATAATTCGGCATCTAAGATTTTTTTTAGAAAATTGTAACTTCGTTACAATTACAGTTACTTTTTTTCGATAACTGTAACTTAACTTTGTTACTTTTCTCCATCTGTAACTGTAACTTAGTTACATTTTTGTAGCAACTAGTAACTATTTTAATAGTTATTTTATTAGTTACTTTTTTTGGAAACATCCGCTAAAAGTATCGTTTAAGTATGGTAGCTATTATATCGTTAAATTAAATTTTGATAACAGTAACATGGATCTTTATATTTTTTTTAAACACTTGACTGTGGTGTGCATAAAATGTAAGCTCCTTATATTTAAAATAATGTATAATTATTTTTATAAAGTAACTGAAAAGTAACGACTCGTTATTTTTTAAGTAACTGTAACGAGTTATTTTTTAAAATCGGTAACTTGTAACAGTAACTATAGTTACTTTTTCAATAAAATAACTGTAAATGTAACTAGTTATTTTTACAAAGTAACTTTCCCAATCCTGACATATATATATATATATATATATATAATCCCTTTTTACATATTATTATGTACATAGTTATGTTATCAGACAACAGAATATTTTAACTGATAAATAATTATATTTAAAATTTAACTTTTAACAGTCCATGTGATACATATTATCTTTTTTGATTAATATATCTTTCCTATCCGTTTCCCATATATAGTGAGTAAACAAAAATTCTGTTGAAATTTAATAGAAAAGATCCATACAAATTTTTGTTTCGGTATTATTAAAAATAATATTGAATAATGAATGCTTTTCTTATTGATAAAGACTTATTACAGAATATAAATTTAAAGTGTAAGGCAAGCAATAATTTTTTCTCTCGTATTTATATAGCATCGAATAAGTATTGTATAAAAATATAATTATAAAATATACAAAAAATTTAAATGTTTTGCGAAAATAGATGGCATTTTTCCTAAAAATCTTGATATTTATACATAAATTCTATAAGTATAAGTAAAATCTTTATTGAATTCACAAAATTAATAATGCTATTTTCGATCTTGCATTAAAATTGCAAATGCAAATCTTTATATACTTAAAATTCTAAATAAAAATACATCATTTATGCAAACGATGAGTTTGATAATTAATGCTTACGCGCGCAGATAGCGCTTATCAACTGATAAAATATCATACTTTCAAATATATATATATATATATTTTAAGTCATTTCATTTTATTTCTGACAGATTTTTGCATTATTGGGAAATTATAAATATTTCATTTTCTAACAATATAACATCGTCGAATGTTTTGTGTGTTCGCAAAAATAAGATATTCATAAATAGAAAAATGAGGATATCTTCAGAAAAACTCATTCTTAAGATAGATTTCATTGTGTGTGTCCAATAAAAGATTTCAATCAATCTTTCGTATACCTGATGATCTTTCATCTACATTTATCGCTTCGATCATGATATATTAATAAACTCCTGTTTACTCAAATCAAGAGCACAATGTATCCGCGTTTGCGTGGTGCGGTCGCTCGCAATCTTTATGGTCTCTTGAGTTTTATTTCCTCTTCCGGTTCATTTTGGCTCTGCTCGAGAAACTCGCCAGAGTTACTGCATCGCATGTTCAAAGTTACACCGAAAAAATTGTATTCTTATCGTCAAGAGAGTCCTCTTAATTTAAGAAATTTCTCTAAATTTTAGTATATTTTTTTCTGCAAATAAGAATAAATTAAGAATATCATCTTAAATTAAGAGGATCCTCTTGGCGCTATTTTTCGGTGTAAACAAATCGCTGTGTCTAATGTAAATAACAAACTTGCGTAGAATACCAAAAAAACGTATACAATATACAAATTAAATTATTAATATCTGTATGTGTTAAATAGTTGCCAATAAATTGATACAAACAATTTAATTTTGTTTTTATTTAGACTACTTTGATCAACACACACACACACACACACACACACACACACACACACACACACACCTATATATAAGTTGAATTTAATCAATATGTAATTTTTTTAATAAATTCGCTTTTCATGATAAAATATTATGACAAGCTTAATCGATATTAATAAATTGCATATAATTATCGAAATATTTGAATTCTTTTTAAAACACGGTTTAAATAATGTATATATGTCTAATAATGTAATGTGTATTATAATTAATACTAACATTGAAACTGGAAGAGATTATATTGAAAGACAAAGTTAATATATTTACATTTTGCAATTATATATACATACATATATATATATATATATATATATATATATATATACTATAATAATGCACACAGAACGTTATTTTCAGTTTTGAATCCTCTTGGAGTTACACTAAACCCAAGTTCAATAAAGTACAAAACTATCAAATATAAATTTTATAAACAAAAGTAAAAGTACAAAACGTAAAAGCTATCAAATATAAATTTTATAAACAAAAGTTTTCGTTTCATAATTTTTTATTAAATAATTCTTTTTTTCACGTATAATTTATCGTAACATTTTATTTATTACAAAAACGATATATCATCGCTGTCAGTTATTTGTTGCAATTACTGTATTGAAGATTTGTAAAACATTTTTATAACACTGAAAAGTAAAATTCGAATGGCTAATTACGCGACAACCACATCATTAACAAACAACGATGAAATCCGCGAATTAATGGCTCTATGGCCTGACATAGTTCGTGATATCACGCAGTCCAAGATCTCATCAATTCCAGCAGAAATTTCCGAATGGATTGCAAAAGTAAGCGTGTGTAATATAACGTACAAGATAATAAAATTACATAATAAAATTTAAAATAAAAATTATAAACAAAGAGACTTTATCTTCTATAGCAATTAAATTTATTAAAATGAATTATTATGAAAATATAAGAATTTAAAAACGTAATAAATAAGCGAAAACAGTATAAAATTGAATTTAACAAATAAAAACTAGTATTTTACAAACTAGTATTTACCTGGAAAACTATATACAGTTTAGACAGAGACATTGAAGCAACAAGTCATAAATTTGAATAAATGTGCAAATTACATTTCTATTATTCTTCAGGTATTGCAGTACAATGTTCCAGGAGGAAAAAAAAATCGCTCTATGACATTAATTTATGCGTATAAATTATTGGCACCCAGCGATCAACTTACGGAAGAAAACATCCGCCTAACACGAATTCTAGCTTGGTGTTTGGAACTGGTGCGTAATTTTGTTCTCATTTATTATGATGAATCTTTCATATAAAAGAATTTCAATTAATTGAGGAATAAGATATGAAAACGCTTTTAACATGGAAGATTAAAAATATCAATTATCAATCATAATTTATATTTACTTCGAAAAATGTCAAAAAAAAAATATATATATATAAAATATATATATATAAAATAAAATAGTAGTGTAAAAGTTTTTTAAAGTATTTTTAAAAATTGGCGTTTATAATTTTTTTTATTCAGTCTATATAATTGATAACATTTATGTTATCATTTTTTTCAAAACTTTAATTAATTTCTACATATATAATCTGAAATAAAAATGTAAATTGTGTCCCGTGATGTTATATTAAATATTTACGACAGGTCCAATCTTTTTTAATCGTGTACGATGATATCGTGGACCAATCACTAATTCGTCGAAATCAAACATGTTGGTATCTTCATAATGATATAGGTTTAACGGCAATTAATGATGGTCTATTGATAGAATGTGTTATAAATTTACTAATTAAAAAACATTTCAAAGGAAAAGAATATTATATGGACATAGTAGAAACATTCCAAGAAGTGAGTGAAGAGATGTCTCTTTTGATTATATTGTAACATGAAAATACTATATCTTTTTATATGTAAAAATGTATTTTTCAGACTATATTCATGACAGCAGTAGGCCAGGCTATAGATATATTCTCCACCAATTTTGGAAAAAAACCGAATCTAGATCTATATACAATAGATCGATTCAATAACATTGCCGAGTACAAATGTTCGTATTATACGTATATTTTGCCAATAACTTTAGCAATGCATTTAGTAAGTGTACTTCAGTTTCTCTATATATAAATAGATATTGCTTTGTGTTTTTCAAGAATAATAATACTATAAAAGTACTGTGCGATACGTTATGTAGGCTGGCGTAAAAGATCCGGAAAAGTTGAGGCAAACGAAAACGATTTTACTTGAAATGGGACATTTCTATCAAGTCCAAGATGATTATCTAGGGTGCTATGCGAAGTCTGAAGTCGTAGGCAAAACTAGTACTGACATACAAGAAGGGAAATGTACATGGCTGATTGTTATGGCACTTCAACGTGCTACATCAGAGCAGCGTAAAATTTTAGAAGTAAGTATTATTTCTTAAACAAATTGTTTTGTGTATGTGTGCTGTTACATTAATTATTTTTTCTCTATGTTATTAACATAGGAATGTTTTGGATCATCAGATCCAGAGAAAGTACAACGGGTAGTGCAACTTTACAATGATATGGGTTTGCCAAATATGTATTCCATGTACGAAGAAGAGACATATAATCTGATAGTCACCCATATACAGCAAATGTCGTGTGGTTTATCACATGATCTTTTACTGCTATTATTGAATAGAATGTATCGTAGAAAGAACTGAAAGTGTCACTTGTGCATTCAAGAAACAGATATTCAGATTGTAGAATTAAAGTCAATGGACAAGATGCTTTCTGTCAATGTCTGAGAATATCTATTTTTATCTCTATTTTATATTTACATATCTAAATATTATTTCTAATAAGTGAGAAATATTAACAATTTATTATACAATTTATTTATTAAAAACTATAATTTTATAAGAAATGCACAGGGAAATATTTCACTCTACGATTGAAACGGCAATAAAACATTTTTATATAAATATTTATAGCATTATTTCTTAATGATTTCCTTCTAATGCATAAAAAGCTTTGCATTTAGAAATTGTTAAAAGATTTTCTTCTAAATGTAAAGCTTTTCTAAATGTAATAATAAGCTTTTCTAAAAAAACTATATATATATATAAATCAATGCACAAGATATGTTCTGACAATGTTCGAGAATATCTATTTTTATCTCTATTTTATTTTACTTTACATATCTAAATATTATTTCTAATAAGTGAGAAATATTAACAAATTTTATAAAAACTTTATAAATTTATGAGAAATGCATAAGAAAATATTTCACTCTACGATTGAAATGGCAATAAAATATTTTTATAAACATTTAATATTATTTCTTAATGATTTCCTTCTAATGTATAAAAAGTTTTATGAATTGTTAAAAAAATGTTTTTCTAAATGTAAAATTTTTCTAAAAAAAAGTTTCAGATCCAGAGTTTTACATATATATGGTATTTTTTTATAAAATATAATATTCGTTCTTTTAAAATAATCACTGCAACATTTTTTAAAATATATATTGCATATATCATCAATTTATTCAAAATTGCTGCAAGTACTTTAATCAATCATATTGGTATCAATAGAGTTAGAAAAAATCATTATTTTTTAAATATTCTAATTTTTCTTTTCTTATTCCACGGTTGATGTTTCCTTTCGTTTGTACGAATTTTCGTACGTACAATCATTTTCAACTCACGTCTCAAATTTTTAAATTCATCATTTGAAATAGCTTCTGCATTGAAGAATCTTCTAGCCTCTAAAATGCATTTTTACATTATCTATAGCATAAATAATACGTTGATTAATAATTTATATGATTTTTTCATATACATACCATTAAATCGTATATCTTCGTTATCAAGAAATAAAGTATCTTTATATTCAAACAGGCTATTTGTACAAGTATTTTCTTTAATCTCATCTGTCATCTGTTTATCTGTATCTAGTACTTCATTTAAATCTTCATCAGCATCAGATGAATCATATTTAAATGCATTAGTCGCATTAAAATTCAGCTTAAAATTGTGAGCTTTATTATCCATAACAGATGTACTGCAATCCTCAGCATTCTCTGAAAATGTATATATATAATGTGTGTGTGTGTGTGTATATATATAGAATGAAAAAGCTATTAAAATAATATAAAACAATATGAAATAGTATAGAGACATAAAAATGTATTAATACTATCTTTGGATAAGTACCTGTATCATTTTCTTTCCTATGTGCTTTTAACAAACTAAATTCTTCTTTCTGTTTTAAACTTTCTGTCAAGATATCAGACACAGTATAATAGATATCCTTTGATACTTCTGGTTCTGAAAGTGTAGGTTCCATTTCCAATACAAATTTATCACGTTTCTTTTTTGTATTTTTCTCTTTCATTTTTGGCTGTTCGGATTTTACTTCATATTCACCATGCCCATTTTCAGTTGGATCATACCGTATCATCAAATTCTTTCTATAAACATTTCATTAAATATTTATTTTTTCATTCATTCTATTTATTTATTAAATACCCAATTAAATATAATAAATAATTATAAATAATTAAACTTTGCTCATCTAAATATCCTTACTTAGTTGTTTTTATTTCCTGGTTTTTTACTGTAAGAGGTGTTCCTAAAATACTTTCTAAAATATCTAATTGCTTCTCTTTCTCTTTCTGCAAATCACATTCATTGTTGTCTTCAACAAGTTCAGTTTTCTCAGTCTGATCATCATTTTTTATAAAACGATCATCTAAAGTAAATCGTGCATCATTACCAAGAATGGTCTGTAATAAATATAAATTGTATTATCTTTAATTAAGAGAAACAATATATGTGTTACAAGATGTCAAACACTAACCTTTTTAGATTTATTTTCTTTGATACTAAATTCATCTTTATTCCATAGAGAATCTTTTTCATTATCATTATCACTATCATTATCACTATCAAACAAATCTCTCTTCCTTTTTAACTTGGAACTTTGCTGTTCATCAATATCGTCAAATATAATTTTCTTAACTTTTGTAGTATCATCCTGTAAAAATAAAAATTATTAATAAGTATAATTAATAATGGAAAAAAACTATAGAAATACAATGAACAGATGTACTACGTACCAAGTTTCTTAAAGCTTGCTGTAGGAATTGGCTTTTTGCTTTGAACGCCTGCTTCTTCTCCTTCAACGATTGTAAGCGTTTCTTCTCAGATTCAGTAATTGTACTCATATTTAATGCTTACAATAAAAAATATTGATAAAACTAAGAATTAAACACTATAAAAATTTTGATTAACCTCAATTATCAAAAATTGACAATTATACAGAATATTTACTTTATATAAAATAATATACTATTGCACATTTTTATATATATTAGATAAAAATAATAATTAAAATTATTAATTGGCATGTGAAAAGAATATATCCAAATATCCAACAAATAGATCAATGAGAAAAAGAAAAAGAGAATGATTTCAACGCCGTCTAAATCTGTCTTTAGAACTAATTGTGGGTCATGTGACGAGTTGTGAGAAATTGCGCCAAATTTAAACTCATATAGACACAGACACTTGACAAGATCTATTCTCGATAGATTTTGCCAAATATTTTAGCTTTAAGATTTTTTGATAGAATTTAAATTGTTGGATTCTGATAGAGTTTGAAAATTTGTTGTTACAACAACGTTTCAATATCTAAATTATATATAATTATATATAATCATACATATACAAGTATAAATAGAATTCAATATTAAGATAGAATCACAGTTATTGTTATGTTTGTGACTCGGGTAAAGACATTAAAACCAGTTCCTCAAGATTGGATTCAGAATCCTTTTGTCGCAAAGCCGATGAATGTGAGACATCTTCATATTCCAATCTTTTCATTTCCGTTGTTTTCTTAATAACGTCAGCAGGCTCATTAGTTTTACTAGATAACGCGTCGTCTAAAAAATAAACATAACAGATTTAATAAAGATTTGTAATTGCAATTATATCTCTGCGATATACGATGTATAACTTTTACACATACGTACCATAAAGAATATCTGCGATACTCTCTTTATTTTCGATTAGACGGATATATTTATTGTCAGCGAAAATGTCCAAACTTTCCACGACATTGGAATTAACATGCAACAACCAAAATCGATTTCTTTCCAGATTCAATCTATTCGATAGCATTTCAATACCCTGTCATGAATATTAAATGTTTTTAGCAGGAGACAAAATATCATTTTCAAGGAATCGTTTCCAAGAAATTATTTATCAATTTCATCTATAGCGATAATAATCGATACCTTGATGGAAGTGTAATCAAGACTACTGAATCTTTTGCAATTCACAATCAACGAGACATCATCTTGTTCATTTCTGGCTATACTCATTATTTTGTCGCAGAAAAATGTTACTGCGGGATAATAGAGACATGTGTCGAGCTTCAACATTATATATCTATTTCCTAAATGAGTCTATGAAAAGAAAAGTTAATTGCGTCAATTATAATAATTATTTTATAAAAATATAATAGAATTTATAATAGATTAATTTAATAGAATATTAATTAATTAACATAATATATTATTGTGTATGTGTGTGTGTTTTACATCGATACTGCATGAAACACACACGGAACATCTTAAGTTCCTCAATCTTTCACCTTATACTTGGTGATTTGAAGTGTTGGTCTCGCGGTTGGTCGAATGAAGAAAATTAGACTGAAAAAGACACCCAGAAGCAGTCCAATCTTGACGCCGATAAAAACGGACATCAAGAAAGTGCCTATCGCCGCAACAGCATCCGTTTCTTGAAAAAAATACATATATTGAATAAATATTTATATTTTTTCTTTCTTTTCATCTCAGTCAATCTGCCTACACGAAGATGCTATAATACTGACTGTATCCCTTCCAGAGCAATTTGAACATTTTCACGTCGATCATAAACATTACGGCGGTTATCAATACCGCTGATAGCGTCGCGCGAGGAATGTAATTAAAGTACGGTGTTAAGAAGCTTAGCGCCAGCAATGTCATGGTTCCTGCGAAGAAAAGAAAAATAATATCTATATATCATTTCTTACATTTTTAACATTTTTAATATTTCTTCACTTATTTAAATTAGTAGATATTATATAATAGATATTACCGGAATATAAACCCGCCATAGGAGTTTGTATGCCGCTGGCGCTACCGACTGCACTTCGTGTGAATGCACCAGTGGTGGGCATCGCCGAAACGAAGCTGCCGAATATGTTACAGAGACCGAGTGTCAACATCTCCTGCGTCGCATTAACGGTGGCGCCGATCGCTATATTTGTATTGTCAATATTTATAAAACACACCAAACACCGATAAAATCAAATCTAAGGATATTTAGCAATTATATATATCATTAAAAATTCATTTTCAATAAGAAATTTTGTATCGTGAAAAAAATAATTAAATAAAAATAATAATAATAATAACAATAATAATAATTGAAAAATAAATTATACCAAACGCTTTAGCTATTGCCACGTTCACCAGAACTGCTATGAGAGGAAGCATCACTATTCCTGATCCGTAATGAGCGCACATGTCCAGGAACGTGTAAGTTTGATTTCCCACTTGCACTGAGAAAGGTGGTAACGATACTGTGGGAAGACCTGATTTTATTTGTCCTGTAAGATATAAAGTAAAATTTTATTAATTTATTGAATTAAAAATAATTTAAAAATAAGAAATAAAAAAGACAGCAAATATATAGTATAATTGATACATCAAATAAATTAAAAACTAATTGGAGATATCAGTTTATCAATTTTAATTATTTTACAATAAATTATTCATTTATTTCAATTCTACCATAGCTATCAATTTCATTAATAAAAATTAATTAATTGTTACATTTATTCGATGAATCAATTATCGATACTAATGAGATTATAATTAAAATCAAAACCTGAAAGTCTAAACGGAACGGATCCTGTCGTAGCTTCAAATTGATAAGCTATTACAGCTGTTACAAGCACGATGAGAGCATTTCGACCAATAGATAAATACCAAAGTATTTTCTTTATTGCTGTATTTCTAACAGAGTTTCTCTTGTCTTTCGCACAAGGACAGTAAATGTCTTTTAGTTTCTAGAAATAGAATCTATATCAATCTAACTCTTTTACAATTATTATATAATATATAATTTCGAAACTCACTCTGAAAAGCAGAAGAAATATGATGCTGCAGATTCCGAGGGTAACGTCGGCCAGCTGGATCTTATTAATATTTTTAAACATTTTGTACAAATTGTCCGCAGTATTAACTGATTTATATTTTAATCCAAGAAGCCCTTGCAGCTGAGAGATAATGATAATGACCGATGCTGCCGAAATAAAACCAGATGTGACCGGAACTGATATGAAATCTACCATGAATCCTACAATAAGAATCACAATAATTATAAGAATCATAATAATTGTAATAAAAGTAAAAAATGTGAATAAAAATTTCTGTATTTTAATTAATTAGATAATTTTGTGATACCTAAATTTAACATGCCCATCAAAAACTCCACGCATCCGGCCAAAAAGCACAAGAGTACTACAAAATCAATCGGCAAATCCCGCGTATACTGCAATGTCACAAGAGCCATCAAGGACGATGGACCAATCGAGACTTCTTTGATAGTTCCGAAGAAGATGTACAAGAAACCGCCCACGAAACAAGAATATAGGCCGTACTAAAACATTATACTTGTTACATGATATTCTTATAATCACAGATACATAATATAGTATTGCACTTTAATAAATATATTTAAAACAATTTTAAAACAATTTAGTACTTGAAGAAAATGTCAACGACATTTAAAAAAAGAATCTCTTAAACTTAATTTTAAATAAATATTATACTCTCGTATTTATCTATATATTTACAATTCGCAAGTTACGCAACGTAAAATACGTAAAAAGTTTAATACTTTAAAAGAGCGGGCAGGAAAAACGAAGAAAACAAGTTACGAATACCTGTGCAGTCAAACCAGCTAGTGCCGCATAAGCTATACTCTGGGGAATCATGGTCAGGCCCAGAGTGATGCCCGCTATGAGATCCGACACAGCCTTCGTTTGGGTATACCGCGGTAGCCAGCCCAGTATCGGCACATACTTAACAATACTATCGGAGCATGATTTCTGTTGCGGTATCGGCAGTGAACAATCGTCGTCCAAAATCTTCGTGGATGCGGACATCGCGTTCGACAAAATGAGAAACTAATGAATCGAAGTCGAGAAATTTTGTTATTTTGCCGCAAGCTATTTTAAAGAGGACCTTAACATCGAATCTGGTAAACTACACGATTGTTCGAGCTCACCGCACTTTGCTTATCGTGTAATACTGGCGGCGCTTTCGCGTCAACAAGCTCAGAGTCTTATCGCGACGCATTTACCTCAAATCTTAATATAAACGGCACATAGAAATCCTATTAATTGCCTAATTAATTCTCACTCGGTTTTATAATGTGTAGTGTTGACAGTTTGATAAAGATGCGCGCAACAGGCAACCGAAAACCTTGATGCGGGATTAACAACAGCTGATGAGGATCTAACGTGCTACTACATTCTATCTCTTTAATTCTTTTGCGATATCAGACAAAACACGTAACAGCCTTGTTTCAACGCGTGACCTAAAAATTTTCCTTTTCTGTATGTTTCCTGAAAAGCTTTTGCATTGCATAAAATTTTATTGTGCCCTTTTAAAAATTGTTGCGCAAAGACTACCCAGATAGCCACAGTAATTATTATGACATCAAAATGCATCATTTTAATGGCAAATGATGCATTTTGACATCAAAATGATGCCATAATAATTACTGTGGCTATCTGGGTAAAGATATAATTGCTGGAATATGACGCGTATAATGTTTAAGATATTCGATGACAGGAGCACGTGTTACTCAATAGAGCTAGTTTACGTGGAATTTCAAACGTTTGTTATTTAAAAAAAAAGATATGGAGAGATATTTCTCTTTCGTATATACAGCGCCATGTACGACGCATTTTATTTCCATCTGTTTTATATCTAGAACAGCAAAGCGTCGTTAGCTTAAATTTTCTATAAGAAGAAAAAGTGCATCGTCAAATAAAAAAGTGTAAAGGAGATTGAAAAACGTGGCGCTACGCTGTGTATAAATATAATGGTAACATATTATGTAATAATAATAATAATAATATTAATAAAATGACAACAATAATTAATAATAATAATACAATAATGTAGCTGTCTCGTCTAGAATTTTTAAGTAAAAATCCATTTTGAATGTAGCAAGCGCGTCCTATTTTTATCTCGCGCCTGGAATACAATAATTTTCGCGAACAGTCAATAAACATTTTAGCGCAACTTCTTGTTAACTTGATCAATCTGCTCGTCGATCCTCTCAGAAGTTCCCCTGAATTTGTTCGGTTCGGGTCCAATCATCTGTATGAGTTGCGGTACCTCCTGACCACTGATCTGCGTAAAACGCGCGAGCGATTTCATACACGCGTACAGCTGTTCCTCTGCAGGACTACCGTTGAAATATTGCAGCAACGCCATCGTCAATTCCACAGCAACGTCGTCAAATACCTGGAATTTACGCATTACGTGAGAATATGCAGAAATAATGTCACATATTATATTTATGCGAGATGAAAAAAGATGTAAACAAAGAAACAAAAATATTGTTATGATGTGACGTTAACATAAGCTAATGATCAATCAAATTGCAATTATTTAAATTGCGTTTGCGGAAAGCTTTACGCTAATTTCAAAATTAATTTATAAATCTGTATTTTTTCAGTGATATAAAATTATTATTTATTATTTTTATTATATAAAATTATTATTCATTATTTTTGCGTTTTCATGGAATAGAATGTCAAATTTAGAATTAATAGAGTGAGAGTTTGCTGTCACTTTTTTAAGCTCTCTGAGTTTAGTAATCGTTAGCATGTATGTATATGTATATAATGTTCAAAATATTATCGAACACGCGCGTGTTAAGAAATCGATTGCGCGATCACGGCGCAAGACACCGATAATAATTGACGACTTACCGCAGCGCATGATTCGATCTAACATGGATTTGGATAGGTACCTTAGAAATGCTGCCTTTCGGTAAAAGTTGCCGCAGATTTTTGCTTTTGTTCATTTTCTGAAAAAACAGTATCCGATTTCTGGAAAGATATCCGTCACAGGCAGCGGTATTCGCTGCCTCAATTAGAGAGCTTCAAGTTCTAGTGCACATGCAAACGAGCATTGAGTGAGACACGTGATATCCTTCGAACTATTCTTTTTCTTATTAATGACACGTATAGAATTCCCATTCTTTTTATTTTTTTCATCGCTTGTCCGTGAAATAAGATTATCAGCAGGCGAGACGTCCATGTTGGCGATCGTATCGAATGACTTATAGATGTTTTTTTTATTAATAAAGGCAGCACTTCTATCTTAGGGCATCATAGCATGAGCGTCGCTTGTTCTTCCTTTATCGGCAAGCACGCATTCCGAAAGCGGCATTGCAAATAAAATCGCGCATCGAAGGAGAAACAAATCAATTAATACAGCTTCATCAAGCTTCAGCATTCAGTTTCTTCAATGTGACAATTTTATTTCAAATTTGTACGAGTAAAATGTGTCAACTTTAATGCAAACATTTAATGTGCAGACTTGTAACTGTAGCTTGAAATTAAAGAAGTATAAAATATTGAAATTTTCATCAAAATAACTTCGATGTGCGAGACACTTGCGGTGAACGAGTTATAAAAGTGAAAGCGAGAATCGGCGAGAAATGAGTGAGAATGTTAATCGGAAGTCAAGGATACAGACCACAGTTTTTACCTCCTTGCAGGCAAGATTGTGAATGATGGCGGCGCCGCGAATCTGTAGGTCTTCCGAGTTCGAGAGCAACGAGTGCACCGCAACTTTGGTCGTCACCCTTATATTGCTAATGTTTTGACATTGATGTTGCCACTCGGATATATAGAGTAACCATTCCGAGCTGCTGAGGTTTTCGAACATGTTCGCCAACTGCGCAAAACAGTTCAAATTATGACTCATCTCGATGCAACTTATATTCGCAATTATTAAATTTTTTGCAATAATTACGTTTCGTTTTACAAAATTAGCGAACTATTGGTCACAGTGAGAAAAGGACTGTTCAAATATTTTTGTACTGTTAACGTAACAAATCTGTTTTTACTTACAAATTGCGCGAGTGGAAGTTGCTCCTCTTGCGGATGTCGATCGATGTCGTACGCATAATTCATGATGATGTGTTCTCGCCTATCTTGATGTAATAACAGAATCACATCGTCCTTCAATGCGGCGACCGACAGCACGTTCAACAGTTTTACTCGCGCATTACTGTCCAGCGACTTATCATAGAGAATTCGACCTAATTAATTAAGTTGAATATAATTTACACTATTTTGTGGAATAGAAATAAAAATCTAAAATTTCGCCTTCTAAAATTCATTCTCAATAAAAAAAATTTTTTTTAAATTTAATTTGAGAAACTTGAGAGCCATCACTTTAAATGACTCACCTACAAAGTTCAGGAAATTATCGCCTAGAGCCCAGGAACCCTCATTCTCCAAAACATATTGTCGCAGCTCGTCCATACACGTTCGTTCTTCGTCATTTAACTTTCCTTCCATGGCGCTCACCAAACCTTCATATTCCGCCTGTAAGTTTACCAAGTCCTTGAATACTATCGGTGGATCTCGGTGACGTTTCTTCTCTTCTTGTTCGCGCTTCTCGTCCTCCTCCATCTGCATTACTCGCTCTGACGGCAGCATCTCCGCGTTTTCTCCATTAGCTGTCTGTTGTGTCCCACCGACCGCATCTGATAAATAATGATACATTAATACAAAAATTATTTAAGTTAATATTATTAAAATTGTTTAAATTAAATAGAAATGTAGAACGATTCTATAGTTTTTTTCCATTAAATATTAACATATCGTAAAGTATAAAACCAAAAATTGAGTATGATTGTTATAAGATGGGGCTGAAAATAATTCATTCTCGATAAAATTCTACGTACTTTCAGGTTCCGCCATATCTGCACAGCAATTGCTTGGTCCGGTACTGTTGCTGTCACTGCCAGTGGTCTCCTTGCTGCCCTTTTCCTTCTTTTCCTTCTTCTTCTTTTTTTTCTTTCGATCTTTCTTCGCTAGCTTCTCGTTAATGACGTTCCTCCGTTCCTCTAACGCGATCGAATTCAACCTGCGTTCAAATTGTGAAATTATTGTAAAGCAATTTGGTAAAATTTCAATAATAATTCCTCGATATGCAAATCAATACCTTGCTTCTTCGATGGCTGTGTTCAAAAGTTGATATTCCGGAGAAGTTTCCCTCTGGATCCTCGCCTCGACAAATCTCTGACCGGTAAATCCGGCACTCGAGCTACTACTTAATGTTTCTATCAATGGTCTTAAAGCCTGCCCGATAGGTCTAAAAATAGATAAATCGAAATAACTCTAAAAACAAGTCTCTTAACTTAAAAACAATTTAAAATGTTTCTCGAAAGTAATATTAAATATCAAATAATAACTTACGTTTGCAATATTTCTTCCGGTAGATCAAGGATATACTTGGGAATGCCCTTGCCCACCAGAAAATTACTGACCTCCTCTGTGAAGGTATTACAATTGTACTTGAAGAGGTGGTACGTACCCGGTCTGAAAGCGCGAAATCGTTGGTCACATAAAATCAAATATAATTCTCTCGAATAACAGAACCAAAAATCATATCATAAATATCCAAAAAAAGATCAAATAATTATCAGATAATAATTAGTCTAATAATTCTGTGACGCAATAAAATTCGAAAGATTCTTGGAGAAAAAAACTTTATATAATAGAAAGATACAAAATATTTTTAATAAATATAAAGAAGAAAGAGAGATTTAAGTTTTATCATTTAAAAAACAAACTTAAAAAAGGATTGAAAGATGTAAAGAATATTGACAAAAAGACGACTAAATGACGTGTATTTCTAAAACTTGAACTTTGAAGAAAAAACGCAAAAGTACATACGTCGAATGAAGCAACCCTCGACTCTGAAGATACTCACGCGAACGTGGAAGTTCCCAGGCCGTTTATGTACTCCAGGAAAACCGTGTAGGGCAGATAGGTCTCGCCGAGCTTTTCGACTCTCTGCGGCTCTCCTAACTCGGTGCCGCCCTGGAACAGAAAATGCCGTTCGGTCGCGTTAAAATCGCATCCAGGAAAATCGCATTGCCTCAATGTCAATTTCGCGGCAGCTGCGCCGAGTTTCGTTCGCCGGAGGAATTAGAAAGAAAGAGGGAGAGAGATCGAGGATACAGCCGCCCCCTCCTGACATTAGTGGACAGGTAATTTTAGAACAACGACAAATCTGCACTTCCCTACGAGAAACCGCCGAAAATAGACGCCCGCGGCACGCGTTGAGGTGCGATCTCTTCTAGAACGCAAAAGAAGGATGTGTGACGGAAGTGAAGAGTGAAGGAAAAACGGGAAGCAGTGGGAATAAAATGTTTATTACACGTTTTGAGGGTTGGATCTTCCGAGAGGATTGAGTCGCGTTAAACGGAGAGACACGTGTCAATAATGCGGTACATCAATTCTTATGTTGATAGACGCAGGAAATTAATATCAGTGCGAAAAATTCAATAAAAACAAAAATACAAAATTATACAATAATCGTAGAAATAAAAAAATAGTTAATAATAGGTACTGATACATAAGATCTTTGATGATAATCGGGAAAGCTTTGCCCAGAGTCAAGATATGTCAATAGGAATTAATGAGTATTTCGGATGAATATTATTATACTTAATTAGTGTATTAAAAAAAGTTAAGCCATCTCTAGATTTCGCGGTAAACCTTTTTCAAATTTAAGAAAAGATAAACCCCAAAATTAATAACCGCGTTATTTTACAAATTACAAATGCTGAGAATCATAAACGTAAGAATTAACTCCTCCAGTTAGTTATCTTTGCAAATCTTCTACGCTCTATAAAATCGCACTCTGATCTCTTCTCAGCATCCTAAATCACTCCGCTTGACACTTCATCATTCACTCACGACAAAAAAAAACCCGGTGCACTTACGTATCAAAAGAACTCGCAGGCTCACCGATCGAAGACGAGGTGAGAATAAAGAGAGAAAAAAATTCGCGAGATTATTTCTCCTTCGAGAGCGCTTCTCCGAGAGCGGGAAACGATTCCGCACGCGGACTGCCGGGTGCTCGAAGATGCTGCGGCGGAGCCGGCGAACGAGACGCCGACGATGAAGGATGATCGCATGTGGCGGCGCGCGCACTTGCGACTTCGCGATTCGCATTCGCAACCGAATATGCTATTCAAAAAAAAATATATGAAATCAATAATGAAAGCAATAACGATCATTTTAGAAAGTAATGTCACGTCCACACAGAATTTTCTCTTCAAATTTATCCCGAAAATCATAGGGTTCCTTTGATTAATATTTTTACCACAATAAAAATGTTAATATCTATCACAATAAGATATCAAATATGTTCGATTACATTTTTTATTGTGGTAAATATTAATCAGAGAAACTCTTACAAAATTCTTCCATAATTTTCAAAGTAAATTCTATAAGACAAAATCTCTCCGTGCAGAATCCGCAAATAATTAAAAAAAAGAATATATATATTAGTTATATCTATTTTAGGCAAAGTTTTTAGACGAGATCTTGATAACCAGATGACAAATCAATAGAAACGAGAGAGGATGAAATCTGAAAGAGCGAGCGTACTTATACTACAAACAGCTGATCGTGAATCGTTATGTGTCGCATTAGATTGCGAATATGACGGATATTTTTGTCGGAAAAGAAGTGAATAATAATTACAGAGATTATAATGTATCCCGTGTACATTTACTTGCCAGAGAAAATTGAAGAAAAGGAGAAAGCAAACGGGCCATGGATTGCAACGCGTTTAAGTAGAGATACTCTGTACTTAGACCGACAATCAATCAGTAGTCATATTCGTAATTAATTCACGAACAATTAAACGCGAATCCTTTGTTAGACGGCGCTCAATTATCAGTTATAGAATTAAATGAATTATAAAAAATGACATAATTAAATAGAATTAAATTAATTATTAAAAAAATGATATGATATTTTTATCGTGAGAAGAATATCTTAATTAATTTAGAGTTAAAATGTTTAAAATACATAGCCGGGTCATCCAGCTTCTTAGCGAATTTCATGGGCGGAAGTGTGCATGACAGTTTACATCGGTTTCACGATGTCGTAAAGCAACGCGTGTTACAATTACGCGCGCGTTAGTCACGCGTACTCGCGCGTATTTAAAGCACGTTAGTCGACGCGAATAAAGTAATACAACCGTAATGATTTCACCGTGTTGCTTTTAGACGCGCGTCGGTGTCGCGATTATTAAGCGACTGCTAGAAATAATATTTAATGTAGCTTTATTTATATATTAACGCCAGACAGTCGCGCGCGCGCGAAACAGCGAGCCTTTTTAAGCACCACTTGCAGCAAAAGTCACTCGATCGTGAAATTTTTATATTTTATTTCTCTGTACAAAACTACAATTATTTAATATCACACGGAAAATTTGGAAATTAACGCAATCGTATCTCAAAACTCGTAAACTTGACTACTTTCAGGACCAACCCTTTCACTCATCAACAGAAGGTAATCAAGAAACTACCCGAGAAATTATTATATTTTTTCTGTACAAAAGTACACCTATTTAACATGTCACGGGTAATTTGGAAATTTACTTTCAATATTCACACGAGTATTTATATATCAAAGACATTGTATCTCGAAACTTGTAAACTCGACTACTTCAAGGACCAACCTATTCAATTATCAAGAGGAACCAATCAAGTTCCTAATCCGAGAAATCAGTTACTCCAAAACACTACTTTTGTTTGTGTCCCATTCTGACCCCCGAAGACTGCAAAACTAAGTCCGGTCAAGTGTGAAACACGGGAGCAGAATTGTTGGAGGAAGAACCGGTCTAATTTCACTATCTAGTTCAGAGAGAAAGTTAACGCGGTTGAATGATATACAGCATGCTACACAGCTGGAGCAATTAGCCACACCGACGATTGGATTTTGTCGCATGCGGGATGTATATAAGCACGAGACGGACTCACCTTAGCGGCAGCCTTCGCCCTACGTCGAATCCGGACGCGTAAAGCGTAAGACGGGTGAGAGTCGCGTGAGAAAGAGAGAAAGAGCAATTGTACACGTCCGTATCTGTCTGTATGCGTGCGTACGTGCAGTCGGGGGATTATTTTGGGATCGAACCGCACCAAATTTAGTTCCCGCTCCGAGTCTGGCGTATCGTATGGCCCGCCAAGGGACTCTCTGCCGCTCTACGACTAGGTCTTCCAATCGGTCACGACTTCGCGAGGACGCATCGACGTTCGTTCCCCGATAGGTCTCCATGCACCAAGCAACGACGGGAAGCAGCGGGACCATTAATTCTCTCGCTCTCTCGTTGATATACCCGGTTATTTATATTACGTTCCGTCCGTCCTCTCCTTCCTCCGACGATGTCGTCGTCGCACGCGATGACGATGACGAGAGTTTACCCTCGACACCCGGGAATGGTTTTTCAATCGGCAATTGTCGGACATTTTTAGATTCGAGATTAGGAACAGTATGGAAAAACATATGTATATACATTTATAATCTTGCTTCTCCAAGAGTTAAGATATGCTTGTATAGTGTAAGCTTTATTTAGCCTTCATCGTTATTTGGAATGTCAAGGAATGCAGCACAATCTCATGCCATATTCCTTCATGTGTCTATTTATCTAATTATTAAGAGACTGATTAGATTGTTAATATTACACTCCATCGCAAAAATGTGTAAATCAAATATTGCTGTTTACTGCTGGAAGTAAAAAGTACACAAAGAGAATTTACCCTGAAAATCATGATAATCATGGGATAATATAATATTAATCTCTACCACAATAAGATATTAAATATGTTCGATTAATTGTACTATGTAAATAGTAAAATTTACTATTTTTTATTGCGGTAAATATTAATGACAAAAACTCTTAAAAATTTCCCAGTACCACATTGTTCCACAATTATCATGATTTTCCGGGTAAATTCTAAGAGAAAATTCTCTCTATGTACTATGACAGTGTAGAAAGAAAAAGATCTAGTATTTATTTAGTAAATAAAAATTTCTTTCCGCAGTAAGTCAATGCAGAGTTTGATGCTTATTAATTTATTGTCCACATTTGCTGTTTCTCTACTCCATGTTTTTGTCACGTGAAAAAAATACTCACGAAGAGAAAAGAAAGCACTCGAGTGGAGTATCGAATACGGCGCGACGAGGATCTTCTGTGTAGCTGAACGAAAAATTCGCGTTTATATATTTTTTTAGTCACCTATAACGCAGATAGCAAATCCCGATCGAGATAATCGGATCGTACGATTGTCAGTGGAAGAGAATACTTACAGGTCGGACACTATGGATCCCGGCAGGACCGAAGAAGTATTCCCTTCCGTATGCGACTATTGCTGTGTGCCATATTCCGTCCAACTGACGACCTGCAAACAGACAAACAAGAAATTAATATTTGGTCTAGTGACAGAACAGAAAGAAAATATATTGCATAGAATTATTTTAATAATATATTGTGCAAATAATACAAATTCAACGAGATATTTGTGTATCTCGCATCACACATATTTATATTATTTTTTCAATATAATACTTTTTTTGCTAATAAATAAAATTAATTAATAAATAAAAAATCTTTCTTAGACTAAAATTAATTGACAAACAATTAACAGTTGTAGCAATAGCGTGACAATAAGAATAGTGATAAAACAAATCAGTTATATCGGCGTAAAAGAAGAGGTGGAGAAAAAGAAATAAAACTAGGAAATTAATCTGATTTTCAAATCCAGGAAATTACTCGAGATTATGTTATTCTATTTTCATCCCGGGCGTGATCCAACAAAACAACCTCGAGACATGATTAAGCTCAAGCTCGCGATGCTCTTGTTCAAGGACCGACAAAGAGAAGAGACGATCATATAATAATCATCGCGACTTGTCCTCGCGGGTTAGACGCGACTGTGTTATAACAGATGTAGGCATAAAACGCGAAGCTCGCGGGCCCGGATGAAGCTCGAGCTTGCACGTATATGTGCCTCCTTCGACCCAGTTCTGCACCGCGGAAATAGCTAAGTACATCCGCGTATACACGTCGTTTCGTGGCTTTCTTATTACGCTCGGGCCTCCGAGTGGTGTCGACCTCGCAAGAAATAACCTGACCGTTATAATTACTTCCAGAGCGATGCTGATGTCGACGCATGTGACGAATCCGTGGCTGCGAAGCCAATCTCGCACGATGTGTTGCAAAAATACAAGAATATCGAACAATTTAATACGATGTCATTTTTTTCGATTCGATGATAAGAAAGTACTTTTTGGGAAGAGTGGGCAAGTTTTCTATTTCGCGCTTTTATATTTTTCCCCCGAATATAATTGATTTATACTCGGAGAGAATTTTCTCTTTGAATTTACCTTGAACATCATCGTAATCGTATAGGACATGGTATTGGAAGAATCTTTTAAGAGTTTCTTATAAGAGAATCTTATAGAGTTTCTCCGATCAATATTTACTATAATAAAAATATTAATATGTACATAGTAAAATTAATCGAACATATTTTATATCTTATTGTGATGGGTATTAATATTTTTATTGTGGTAAATATTAATTAGAGAAACTTATAAAATTCTTTCAATATTATATTGTCTTAGATTACTATGATTTTCAGGGTAAATTCTAAGAGAAAATCTCTCTGTGTATAAGATAAGCACATTTTGACATTCGCCAGTTTCACTTGACATTCGTTCGGTCCAGGAGAACTGCCAATTTATTCAGATCGAATGAGGCTTTTTCTCAGTGTTGGAGCGAATCTCGGGATACCGATCGCGCACACGTATACATACAAATTGTGCACTCGATGCACTCGAAAATAGACGCGCGGGATGCTCGAGAGTGCGCGAGCGAACCGTGAACACGTGGCGTAAATTGGTTCGCATATGTGCTTCAGGCCATTCACATGGAATTTCCTATGTATTACGGAGCACCCCACATTCTGGCATCCCTTCCGGTTACTTCCCGTTGCAATCCTTCAAATTATCCCGAGCATGTCGTACCTATACACACGCTTCCGCTATAAAGAAGCGAATATTTTGTGCTTGCTGTCTTTGATATCTTTGTCAATTTTTTTTCACTTTCAATTCCTAAGATCAATTAAATAATTATATTATTTAAACATCAGCTTCTAGTATCGTACAAATTAACTATGTATATTATATTATTTATTCCGCGTTAAAATTATATTTAATACATTATTATGCGCTTTTTATATTTTTTTTTACATATTTAAAAATGACACACCCTGCGATTTCTCGATACATTTTTTCAATTGCAAATTTTGCAATTCACTGCTGTGCATCAACAACTAGATTCGTCACGAGGATGACGAGGATACGATAACGATACGACGTCAACGTCGTCACTCTGACTCATCGTCGCGTAAAGTGTCACCGATTCTTCGGAATAGTTGTTTATATATAAATCGACTTTGATCCAAAATAATTTGGCAAGAATTGCGCACCATGTTCAATGCGACATTCGATTTCCCTCTCGTTGAGAGCAGAAATGAAAGAGAGACAACGTAACTGCAAACGTAAGCAATAGCGTTATCGAAAAGTTATGACGAGTACATGACGAGCAAAATTGAACGAGACAAGAATCGATCGATCATGTTAGCTTCCATTTTTTTAAAATTAAGTCACGCACATTGCATAATTCTTTAACGAATGCATACTTAAAGGAAAAATGGTCAAGTCAGCTTTCCATTAATAAAAATATTATTACAGAGACTTTAACTGAAGATAACAAAGAGTCAAAATACGAAAGCTTTACTTTATTAATATGTCAAATAAAGTGTATATATTAATTTCTTTCTTTTTGGATATGTGTGTATTATTCTTTGTTTGCCGTTCAATTCGAAGACACAAAATTTTTCATCCTCTGTCTGTTTTGCGGCGCATAAAACAAAGAAAGATGTTTCCACCGCGTTATATCTTTAAATAACATTCCGCCAACTCAAGGTAAAAGAGCTTAAAATTACGCCCGATGAAAACAGCGATGCATAGCATTCATCTTCTAAATATTGTAATTATTATTAGCCATATGTGCAACGTGCATTCATTGACTCAAACTTCGATTTTTTAGGTCAACGTTACAATAATACAGTAATCTGACATTCTTTCACGCAAGAATTCTATCTATATTCATTATGTCTAAATTTAATTTAATTAAATCAGTTTAATTAAATATTAGGAAGAAACAAGAACTAATAGTCCTCAATAAAAAATTATATTATTATTAGGTTTTAATTATTAATTAATTTATATGTGTAAATACCATGAGACAAAATGTTTCTAATAAAATTCCAAAAATCAATATTTTGATATGACTATTATTGATACTATTTATCATATTGTTTTCTCATTACTTACCTATGAGCATCGGCGACATTATTGTAGCCATCCCTTTGGTAAGATCGTAAATGTACAGCTCCACTGTCGTCCTTATATCTTCAGTGTTCTCCATCTTATTCTGGAAACAATTTTTTTTTATAAAGTACTACATAGTAAAAATAATTTCATATAAAAATATTTTTTATAAAGTAATTCATATTGTCGTATATAATAAAACTGTTAAAAATGTATCAAGTAGTTAATAAATCTAATCTATTTTTCGCCAGATATCTCACTAAATTCTTTCGCTCTTTTATTCTTAACTTTTATGTCTAATGACGTCAAAACATCCACGTGTCTATCTGCCGCCCACTTATTCGTCGACTTCTTCAAATTCGGTGATTTTTCTTATATCAAGTTTACATGCCAAAACTTGTTCCTCAGAATATTCCATTTTAATCATAATAATAACAAGAGATGCGCCAAAAAAATTTCTCAAATTTAGAATAAATCGAGAAAATAATAAACATGACCCTTCAAAAATAAACGTGATTACAACCAACATATGGTTAGCCAAAATAAAATCAAAATACTTGAGACAGGTAATTTCTACTTCTAATAGCAAATGCATCAATATACGTATAGTATATTTAGTTTTAAAAATTGGATGAATAGCGTTATCGAAAAGTTATGACGAGTACATGACGAGCAAAATTGAACGAGACAAGAATCGATCGATCATGTTAGCTTCCATTTTTTTTAATTAAGTCACGTACATTGCATAATTCTTTAACAAATGCATACTTAAAGAAAAAATGGTCAAGTCAGCTTTCCATTAATAAAAATATTATTACAGAGACTTTAACTGAAGATAACAAAGAGTCAAAATACAAATTTCTACGAAAGCTTTACTTTCAAGATCGCTTTTTTTCAAACATTCGAGACATTATATTAAAAATTAAAAATAAACGTAAAGATCATTCTAGTTCCAATATACTTTAGACGTTGAACTCTATTGTACATATGTAATTTGAAGACGCAAATAGCAAAGAACTATACTCATACGCATATGATCTCTCAAAAAACATTCTCTCTGTATTTTTGACACTGAGATGATGAGGCAAAACGTCGGTCCTGCGTTTTAAAGTGACTTCGAGTATATCATTCACGCGCCTAATCGACCAGAAGGCTATATAAAGAAAGTTATAAGAGCCAAAAATAAAGAGATCTCGGGTCAAACTCCTCTAAGATAATCTTTATTTATCTCGAATAATTTTAGAAAGATATCCGCCCTCCTATATAACAACAATGTATTTCCTTCGTTCATGAATAATAATCTGATAAGCAATATCCAAAGATCTCCATTGCTTATGAATATAAAATAATTTCAGAATATTGGATAAAAAAATAATTTGGAAAATATGTAACATATTCTATCGTTTTAATATCTCATCTTCGATTATGGCAAAATTTTCTTCAATATTCTCACCGCGCATTTATGAAGCTAAATGCAATAGTTTAAAACTCGTCGCAGAAAATCATTTAATATAATATAACGAGATCAGTGTTACAGGTTTCACGTGTTATAAAGTCGCGAATGAATCAGCGATTTAGAAACGTATATATGTATATATGTACGAGGTATACGTAACTATCATTTCCTTTAATGTATGAATAGCCTTGATTTATTTCTTGTATAATTTAAAATATACCGACAAAATAATTTTAAATGATAATTTTAATTATAAGCTATAAATATCTAACAATTATGCACAGATTTTATTAACATTATCAACCTATTATATAAATATTTTCTTGAGAATTAGAGCGAAAAGAATTAGAGCAAAAAAAATATTTAATAGTAAAAAAATCACCAGAATCTAAAAGTAAAGTTATAAGAACATGATATTGAGAATTATAATCAAAAAACGTATAATAATTGATAAGTTCATATATAAAAGAAATGAGAATGGTTTTGCATATCGCAAATACATCTTGCATGATGATAAGTGTGTAATAATGTGCAATAAAATGCAATATAGATTGAATCGACGCTGGCATAATTTGATGTCATCGTAATATAAACGAATGTGAGTGATAGACTCGCAAGAAACATATACGATTGTTAATAAATATTAGATCAGTATAAGATCACAAAATTATTAGAATTTTTGAACATCTTCATAAAATTGAATGTACACTGAAAAAAATGGTTAACTTGGCTAAAACGTTCAACTAAATTACTATTTTGATAATTAAACATATATTAGTATTTAAGTCAAATGTACATTTTGTTAAATTTAATATGTTATATTGAATTTAAATATTTTTCAATATGTCCAATTAACAAAACAATATTTAGTTGAAAGGATAGTCAAGTTAACAATTGTTTTTCAGTGCACAAGAAATATCCATTATCATTCGTTAGAGTCAACCTAATATTAACCTTTAGAGAACGGGAAGCCAATATTTTGGCTCTATAAGGATCGCTTATTTTTCATACTACAACATTATAATAAAGATATAAAAATTCTTACTTCAAATTACAAAAGTTTACAAAAAAAATACGTCCGTCCTCTAAAGGTTAATTAAACCAGAAAAGAAAAAGAAAAATGAAGAAAAATCTAACAAATAGAAATTGAAGAAGAAGAAAACAAGAAAAATGATCGATTCATAGACGAGGCACGCGGATGAAAGCCTACCTTCCTGTTTTCATTGACGGCTAACAGGTGGATTGATTATCGTTCCTCGGCGGGAAGGGGGAAAGGGCAGAGGCGACGGGCCTCCTGGTGAACGAGGATGACGAAGAAGTCGCAGCTGGATCACGACGAGAGGAGAGAACTTGACGCGCGAGTTTAAGCCGAGCTGTAGATCTCTCGACTAGGGGTGCGCTAGATGGCTACCGGCTAGCAAATGCAACTGATCGCGCCGAAATCCTCACCGGATTACGCGGCCTCCGCGGCTCGTGGAGTCTCTCACGGCGCGGTAGTCGTTCTTGGCAGGAAGAAACGGCAAGGTGGTAAGAGGGTCATAACGCGCGCGGTGTGCAGAGGCAGTGCCTGTAGGCGTTTTTGTGTTTCTATCATTCCATTATACTTCATTATTTATACATCGCGATCCAGAGATTGTTACGAAGATTATAATACGCAATTATCCCCGCAATTCATCATTTTCAGAATCAATTCCAAGAGAAAATCCTCTCCGTGTACATAGACAGAATTTTCCAATCAGAAAGAAATTTTTTTAATTTAAAATTTTATTATTTATACCGTGATTAAATAAATAAATAAATAAATAAGTAAATAAATAAATAAATAAATAAGTAAATAAATAAATAAATAAATAAATAAATAAATAAATAAATAAATAAATAAATAAACAAATAAATTATCGCGCTTGATCAGCAAGTCGATTAAAAAAAACGAGCTGTCGGCGCCTCGTTCTTGCTGAATCATTTCATCATCTACTATATAATGACGCAGAAATTTCGTCAACTCTCGTACACGATATTTTTCCACCTCTCCGTAGGTGTAGTTTTTTTTCGATGCGCTTGATACATTCCTTATGATTTCATAGTTATTCCGAAACATAATGGATGTTGGCTAGAGATGTTGGCAGATACGTTTTGGAGTGTGCATTCGCGTACAAAAATACATTAGGTACAATATGATTCCTCATTTCGGAAAGATACACAGAAAGAAAAAATTTTTTTAAGAATTAAAAATTTAAATTATTTACACCATGATTAAAAACAAGTAAATTATGATCGCGCACAAAAATGCATTATGCATAATATAATTCCTCGTTTCAAAAAATATAGAGAATTTTCAAACAAATAGCAAATATTTTTTAAAGAATTTTGAAGAATTTAATTATTCGTACTACGATTAAAACAAGTAAATTATGATCGCGTACTAAAATATATCATATAATAAGATTCCTCATTTCGAAAAGATACACAGAGAATTTTCTCTTAGAAGTTACTCCGAAAATCATGGTAATCGTGGGACATAATATTTGGAAGAATTGTATGAGTTTCTCTGATTAATATTTAGCACAATGAAAAATATTAACAAATAATAAGAATATTAAGTCGGCTCCTTAATTTTAAAACCACGATCTACACTTCATTCCTCTCAGCCGTAGAGCCACACGCGATGTTATTGCGATACTTAAGAAAAAAAGAAAATTTGGAAACTAAGGAATTTGTATCCTATGGTTGGGATCTCAGAAATTTCCCTTGTTCCTCTCCTAACTTCCCCTGTAAAGAAATTCCCGATTCAGCCGACTTTCGGACCAATATTTTTCTCGCCTATTTCTTTACAAAGGAAGTTAAGAGAGGAACAAGGGGAATTTCTGAGATCCCAACCATAGGATACAAATTCCTTAGTTTCCAAATTTTCTTTCTTTCTTATTGTTAAGCAATAACATCGCGTGTGACTCTACGGCTGAGAGGAATGAAGTGTAGATCGTGGTTGAAAAATATTAATATCTACAAAAAATATGTTTAATTAATTTTACTATGTACGTATTTTTAATATTTTTTATTGTGGTAAATATTAATCAGAAAAATTCTTGTAAAATTCTTCAAATACTATATTATCTCATGATTACCATAATTTTCAGAACAAAATTCTAAAAGAAAATTCTGTCTCTATGTATGTAGGTGTATAGACAGCATTTTCCAATTAGAAAAAAAAATTTTTAATTAAAAATTAATTATTCATACCATGATTAAACAAATAAACAATTATGATCACATACAAAAATACATAATGTATAATATGATTCCTCGTTTCAAAAAAAAAAGATACATAGAAAGAATTTTCCAAACAGAAAAAAAATTTCTTTTTAATTTTGAAAAAATTATTCATACTATATGATTAAACAAATAAAAAAAAATTCTTTCTATATGTATCTTTCTGAAACAAGGAATTATGTTGCTTGTATATAATGTATTTTTGTATGCAATCATAATTTATTTGTTTTAATCATATAGTATGAATAATTTTTCAAAATTAAAAAAAATTTTTTTTGTTTGAAAAATTCTATGTATTTTTTTTTTCGAAACGAGGAATCATATTGTACATTATGTATTTTTGTATGAATGAATTTAAAAAAAAATTATTTACACCACGCGATTGAAGTTAATAAATTATAATCGAAATAAATATTTTTTTTTAAATATCCTCTCTCCTATAGAAATTGATCTCGCAACATTTAACAAGAATCTCTGCAAAATTACAATTAAAATTCCTGAAAATGTCTAATTAATGCATAGTAAAATTTGGTATTTAATAATTTTGCAAATGTAAAATAAAAATAAAATGTTTCTACCGAGCAAGACAAAGTTTTTAAACAAAATATTCATACGGGCGAGTGTTGATAAAACGTCGACATATTTTCGCGTAATTACAGTGCAAAATTCATCGGCCCACTGACGAAAGATATGCCAGCGTCTGATTTATTTATATCCGAGTACGATCACCTGGTAAAGTGCCTGCGGTTGCCGACACCGTGGCCATGACCAGATAACAAATCACGATTAGTTAAATGCACTACTTCCGTTTCCGTTACAAAAGTTGCAAACGTCAAGATGGTCAACGAACTTCACGTTGTACAAAATTATACAAGACAACAAATAAAGGTATATAATCAAAAGATTTACATAGTCATAAATAACATCGTTTCTCTGTCTAAGAAATAAAATTCCTCCAAAAATAACAAGAAACAAATAAAAAAAAAAAATAAAGTAAAAATGAACGATGCGCAGATATAGGTTATGTATACTAAAGAAAAATCTCTCACTCTTAAAATTGTCCCAGTGTCATCGCATGATTACTTCAGGCGATAAAGGCTCGTTATCTCAGGCTGGTTGTGTGCAGAACGAGGCATGCGAATCGGAGAGAATGCAAATCGTAAGCGCGCACGCGACAGAGGCAGAAGGCGAATACCGCGCGCGCGCGCATACCGATTCCTCGTCTCCACACACACACACATCGATATATCGACGGCGTGCTTTCGAAAGAGCGCCAGGGGTCGGCGTCCGCTTTCGTCCCGCCGTAGCGCAGGTTGCATAGTGCGCGGAGCAGCGCGTCGCGACTCGCAGGCGGAGAGAAAGTTGCTCTCTATCTCTCTCTTCCTCGAAACGAGAGAGAAAGAGAAAGTGTCTCTCGCAATCGTCATCGTCTCGTCGCGCGCGCGCGCGCGATCACGCATCATTCGATCGACGGGAGGGAAGGAAAAAAAAGGGAGAAAGAGATATAGAGGGAAGTCTCGCGCGCCAACAAGCAAAACTTACCCAGCGTCGAGAAAAGTCTCCCAGAGGGACGCGGACGACAGCGACTCGACTCGACTCGCTTCGGTGTATGTAGCTTCTTGGCTCGCTCGTGCACCCAGTGTCAGGATTGGTCGCCTAGTTCGACGAGAAGCCTCGCGCGAGTTCGTTGTTTCGCGACGACGGTGATGACTCTCGGTGCTTCTTCTCGCGCTCAGCTGACTATTATCGCTCGCGTTTGTTGAAGATTCTCCGTCTCTCTCTCTCTCTCTCTCTTTCTCTCGGGGACGCGAGTCGCGAGTGGATGACAGGGCGAGACTAACGAGGGGATTAGTGCGTGTGCGCGTCGCGAGAGCATTCGGTGACCGCGGCATCGCCCGCGAGGAATCCGCACCTCGGTTCGTGGAGGCTGACGAGGAGGTTAGGTCGATCCCACCGACGTTGACTCGACAGTTTTCCTTCTCGTCGCGCCGCCGTGTGGACTTTGGCGCCACCGCGCGCCCGTTTCGTTTACGACACACAGCGAGCTTCGAACAGCTGATTCACCGCACCGACACCGGCGAAATGTCAAAACCCGGGCAATTTGTAAGTCACCGCGCGGAACGGATTCGCGGCCGCGATTCCGCACAATTTTCCCTTCCCTCTGTTGTTTTTTGTAATCTCCGCGAGATCCCGTCGCGATTAACCTTGTAATAAATTGTCAAACTTAACCGATACTTATCCGAGCCCGATTCTCATCTCGTGATGTTGTTCTGTCCTTTGTTACCTGTTTTTCTAATTATTCCTAATTTTTTGATAATCACACGAGGAAATATATTTGACGTGTTGACACGCGTTTCTTTATAGCATCTGTCTATTTTTGTAACATGATAATTTCTCGACTAGAAAGTTAATTAACTTAAAATAAATAAAAAAATTTTGTCTCTGATATAAAAATATTTTTGATTTATCGGGGAAGAAACCTTTTATATAAAAAAGCAATTAAGATATATATATATATATTCCATTATTATTCAATCTTTATAGATGTCATTTATGTATTAATGAAAAAATGAATAATATACAAAGTTATAATGTGTTTTGTTATAGTTATATACAATTCTATTTTGTAATACAATAGATTTACAAAAAATGTATTTTTGTAAAATAAATATAAAGCTATCTGTAATACATTGTTTATTCACTTCCAGGTTCTACGCGTTCAGTCATCAGAGGGAACAAAGCGTATAGAAGTGCTAGCTTCCGATACACTTTCTCAACTTTATGAAAAGGTATAGAAGATATTCCAATTCCAACTCTTTTATATATTGTGTTTTTAGGACGATATTTTAAAATTTATCCCAATTACTTTTTACATAGGTATACGAAGCCTTTGATTTAAATAGTTTTGGATTTAACCTCTGTAAGCAACGAAATCAGAAAGAGCCACTTACATCTACTCGGAGTAGAACAGTCTTAGGAACTGGTCTTTCCCATGGAGACATGCTTTATCTTGTGCCAGCCAATGGCACCCAACTGTGGAGCGCTCCATCAACCAGCAGTGCCTCCAATAATACTTCTACAGGTAAAAAATAATTACTTCCATAATTGATAGTCCAGTGTAGAACGTAAAAATTACTGAAAATAATAAATGAAGCAAAGTTATTACATAAAATAACTAAAAACATGGTATAATACATTCAAAATAATAGTATTGTACTAAATTATAAAACTTACAAAAAATTGTTTCAATATAAACGTGTCTATGTATGTATCTATATAAATTTCTTCTATTTGTCAAAGATCAATATTTTTACTAACATTGTTTTGTATTTTTAAATAAAGAACCAGGGCCAATTGATTCTACAAATGGAATTACAAATCGCACATCTGGTCTTTCACGATCTCTGACAAATGTAGTTGAGGATGATGTTGATGAGCAATTATGGAAACTGGATGGAAAAATCCAACGTAAACGCGACGAAAAACTGTAAGTAAATCTAAAAACATTTCAAGATAGTATCAAAATAGAACAAAAAAAATACATTTTTATAGCTGTCGACACGGAGCAAGAGGATGCTGCGTGCATTGTTCACCTCTGGAACCTTTCGATGAGATTTACCTGAAGGAACAAAATATCAAGCATCTATCCTTTCATTCACATCTCAGGAAGCTCACTGCCGGAGTTGATAGGTACATAAATATGCAATGTGAAATGATTGTACAAACATTATTACAGAGTATTCGACTGTATCTTGTATATATTTGTCGCAGGGGCAAGTTTATACAATTAGACGACATAAGCTGCCGTATAAAGACTGGCTGCAAGGATCATCCGCCATGGCCGCGAGGGATCTGCAGCAAGTGCCAACCGAATTCGATCACTCTAAACCGCCAGACTTATCGACACGTGGATAACGTCATGTTCGAAAATGCTAGTTTAGTAGAACGTTTTCTTAATTACTGGCGTAGCACTGGACATCAGCGTATCGGTTATCTATACGGAAGATACGAAGTACACTCGGATGTCCCGCTAGGAATTAGAGCAGTCGTTGCGGCTATATACGAGCCACCGCAGGTACGTAGAGCTCGTGCACAATCTTCGACAAATCTATAAACATACACATTTTTGATGAACAAATATATTATGTGTTCGCATTTGTGATTGGTCAGGAAAGTACAAAAGATACGATAAGACTTCTGCCGGACGAGAGGGAAGCGTTAGTCGAGGAATTAGGCCGGACACTTAATCTGAGGAGAATCGGATGGATTTTCACTGACCTCATAGCCGACGATATCAAGAAGGGAACGGTAATTTGATATATATTTTTTCTTTCTTTATGCAATGTTCGTATACCGAATCCGCATATGTACGGCGATTAACACTGTCAGTTTTATTCGATCAGGTCAAACACGTTCGCAACATAGAAAGCCATTTCCTATCTGCTCAAGAATGCATTATGGCTGGGTACTTTCAAAACCGGTATCCAAATCCTTGCCGCTTCTCGCCTAATGGTTATTTCGGCTCAAAATCTGTAACAGTTTGCGTCACAGGTGAGTCGTCAATCTTAATTTACAATAGATTTGTTTTCTTTTACTTCGCGAAGATGATAGGCTGATTAAAAGTTTGTCTCTTTTTATCGAGATAAGAGCCGCATAGGAAAAGGCGAACGAGTTCTTTCGATCAACTTAATAATACATAATAATTACGTTTTTTTCGCTATCTGTTACTAAATATTCGTTACAAACGCCATGTAAAATTACAATTTTCAGAAACTTTTTTTTCCTGTAATTCACAGGTGACGATAAAAATCAAGTACATATGGAGGGCTATCAAGTATCCAATCAATGTATGGCGTTGGTTCGAGATGGCTGTTTGGTTCCTACAAAAGACGCACCGGAATTGGGCTACGTAATCGAGTCGACCGATAAGCAATACGTTCCGGATGTCTTCTACAAGGTAAGTTCGAATATATATATATATATATATATCGTTTTCATTTTTCTCTTTGAGATTAACGTTTCTTTGAATCACTTGGATTTATATCTTTATATGTATATCGAACGAGTGCCTTTGGATTTTTACATGTCTATCGTAAACCTAATGTTTTTATTGAAAGTTATGCAATTTTGTCGCACAACTTAAGAGATATATACCTATAGGTATAAGGGTAATACGCACAAATCATAATACTCACGTGAAATGAGAACAGTTTATAACTCAAAATCGATCGATTAAAAGTACATTTAAGTTGAGGCGTTAAACGTTCGCTTCGTACATGTATAATGAAATAATAAAATTCGTTTAAACGACGGCTCTCTACGGTGTAATTACCGCGAACCTAAAAAAAAATAGTCACGATCTTCGCATTCTCAATGATCAATTATGTCTCGAGCGAGATAGAGAGAGGGACAGAGCGGAAGTAAGAAAAAGGAAAGATAAGGAAGAAAACAAAATAGCGAGGTAGAAAGACGAGAGGAAAGAACTTGTCCAAGTGCTTACAGCCGCTCAATCGTTTAATCGCACGCGAGGGACAAGATAAATCGGTCGGTCGTTAGAATCGATATTACAAGCTATGCGTTGTTACCTCATCACGTTCATAAAAATATATGTAGTTTATATATTTGTATATATATACGCGCGCGCATAGAGGTATCCGTGTACGTGTTTTTTTTTTAATGTATGTATATGTATGTATGTAAATGTATACAGGTGGGCCTGTATCGTCATTCGCTTCAGTACAATATGTCCTTTTCTTCTCACGATTGCGATCTCTACGTAATTACGTACTAAGAGTTACAATTTGTCGGAGTTTTTTCCTCGCTCGGGAAGCGAAACGAGAGAAATTCGTTCATTCATCCATTCGAACACACATCATAGCCACCCCCGCTTACAGTCGTCGTGTATACAATAATATTGTACATGTACAGGAGCGAGTTATATTTATTATTCCCTAAAGACGACACACAACGCGACGCGTTTCGCGTTGCCATGTGTCGCAATCATCGCAATGTCGATCGCGAGAGACGCGTTTCTTTTTCTTTTATTAGCTAATCAACAAGTGTTAAAACTTTCAAGTTCAACATCGAATGAGGCTTTTCTTCGAGAAGGCATATCCGCGACGACGCGAGGGCGTGCAATTTTGCTATTACGGTAACGCGTGAGTGTGCCTTGCCTTTTGTACGCGCGTGGAGATTACGCGCGCACGTGTCCGCGTGAAAGAGAGAGAGAGGGAAAGACGCGTTCGCTCTCGCACGCGCGCGCGTGTGACAGTGTGTATATATATAATATATATATATATATAACGATACATAATGGGACTTCATTTACGAGAATTCAGACGAGTAGTATAACGCAATTACATTATCGTAGTACGATATATAGGAATGATTTGTTTAATGTACATACATACATACATACATACATACATATAAATATTTATATATATATATGTATATGTATTTGTACATATTTTTCCTTCGTTCGTTTTCCGATCAGACGACACGAGGCTTACAATCTACAATAGTAGTAGTTAGGCCTTGCATACATTTGCGACGTATTGAGATCTAATCTTAAATACAGATATAATTCACGACGGTTCGCTAGTTTGACAAAGAACGAAAAGGGAACGAGTTTCGCCACCAGTATTCGTGCAGCGGAATCACAAGACTTCCTCGCAAAAGACGCGCGCGCGCGATGAATATCTCTCTTTTTTCCCCTTTTCCCTTTTAGCTCTTTTCTCCCCATGGAACGGAACGGTACGCGACATCGTGTTCAACGAACCGCACAAATTGCCCTCCTACGAGATTAACTATATCGATATCTTTTTCTTCATTTCGGAATCTAAGATTCTAAACGACAAACTTTGCGTTTTGTATAGAATCGCGCGAGTCGCGATTTTTAGCATAAATTCGCAAAGGTGCCCACACCTGCGATTTGCTTTCGCCCACACAAAAAACCAAAAAAAATCGAAAGGGTCAAATATATCCGTATTCGCGCACAGGTTTATCATCATCACCATCATTATTATCGCCTCTCTTTTCACAAGTATAATATGCGTCGCATAAACGCGATACGCGGTTCGGTTAGTTTCCCCGATAGTTTTCCTATACTTAAATTCTCCGGTACTACACGTTTGTTTTTCCTTTTTTATTCATCTATCTACGATCTAAAACATTAGCTGCGCACGCGGGAGCCGGGCAGAGAACATCGCAATCTACTACCGCAAAATCGCACGGTATACATCTTCTTCCTCACTAATATATCACGCCCGACGCGCGATACGCGCTCTACGAACTATAACGTAGTTTAGCAGAGTTAACGCCGACAATAGCCAAAATAAACGTTGGACCTCTCTCTTCCTAAAAAACAAATACGTCGTATCAGCTAGAGAAGTCGTATCGATATCACGGTCGATCTCTGAGGTACGTATGTGTATGTGTATCTCGATCATCATCATTATTATTGTTAGCAGAATCTCGTATCGATTCCCGGTCAATAGCAAAATATGGATTTTTTTTTATTTCTTTTTCTCCGTCTCGCACGCGCCCACGATTTAAAAATAGACTCGACATCTTTAGATGCTATTGTTAATAGTTAATTAAGTTGCGTGACTCGTACGGAGCGTTCGAGGATTCGCGGATAAACGCGTCGCGACGGTGTCCCCGAGTTAATATGCGCGGCGGATATAATAATAATAATAATCGTCTCCCATCGTTTGGGTAATTACGTGTAACGCGTTTCTTTTTGTATATTTCTTCTCTTACGTATAGGTTTCTCTTCGGTCGAACGCGCGAGTCGGGAAAACCGTCGCGACCTTCCTTCGGTTATCTATAGCGGGAAAACGTGTATACGGCGTTATATAATAATATATATATATGTATATACGGGATATACTCCGCTCTTCTTCTCGGAGAGTCTACCCCACGCTACAACAAACCGCGCGACAGCGACAGCGTAAACGTTACAATTTACCGCACTTCGTGATTAGAATATTCTTGGTAGGCTTGCCGGTCTGGTCGCCGAACGTAGATATCTTCTCCACCAGGTCCAATCCCTCGATCACGTGGCCGAAGATACCGGTGAAGCCGCGCATCTCCTGCAGTATTATGCGAAACTGTGAGCCGACCATGCCGAGGTTGTCGTGTCGTTTCTGCGTCCGTCTCATCCCGACCGCACCTCTGACCGCCGGGAATTTGGTGTCGTCCGGCATAAAGTAGCCGTCCTCGTATATACTTCGTCCTCCGCGGCCGTTGTTAAGCTCAAAATCGCCCGTGATCACGGACTCGCCCTCCCAGCACTGGAATATCGAGCAGCCCTTGTAACCGAATCCGGCTTCCCCCGTCGACAGCACGCTGAAGTTTTTCGCCATCTTCGGCGCCGCGTCCGGTCGCACCTCGATCACGATGCGTCCGTGCGGCGAGCCGTTCACCTCGATGTTGAAGTAGTACAGGGGATACGGATTCGCCGGGCCCCGCGTCAGCGTCGCCGTTATCGCGTTAGACGGCGGTTGCGGGGACGAGTGGACGGTCACTAGACTGCCACCGGTACCGACCGTATCGGACATGAACGTTGACTGTTGCTGCGGGTGCAGCATGGCGTTGGGCGGTGCGGGCGGTACGGGTTTGATGGACGGTGAACCGGGTGGAATGAGAAGCTGCTGCGGAGTCTGATTCGGCCCTGATGGCGGCGGCGGCGGACCCTGGTGTACGTGAACCGGTGGCGCCTGTTGCGGCGGCATCATATTCGAATGATGGTACTCCATCGAACCGTTCTGCATGTGCTGTTGCTTGCTGACGACGTGGCGCGTGTACAATTGCGACATGCAGTAATTTGCGAGGAACAAAATCGGGTTCTGCGAGGCCGCCAGATGATTCGGCAAGCGACCGCCATTGCCCACTCCTTGGGGAACGATCGGATCCCCCGTATGAATGCCCGCCAGTGCTTGCTTCAGCAGGGCAAAATCGAAAATCACTCCAGAATTGCCAATGAGATCGTCCAGCTGACACTGCAGCATCATTTCCTGATATTTTGATTGCAACCGCTGTTTCTCTAGAACGAGCTGCGAATGCAAACTGTAGACGTCACCCGGAGTCTCGCTCATCTGCAAGCCGGCCTTCGTCTTGCCTAGGGTTTCGCGCGCGTCCGTTATCTCGGGAAAGTGGCTCCAACCGTTCTGCAAATCCGTCTCCACGTGCGTCTTCAGTGTCACGCATGACTCCAGCACCTTTATCAGAAACTCGCGTTGCTGTATAGCCAGTCTTTGAATCTCGGTCGACAGTTTACCCACAGCGGCCACCTCCAGTTGAACCTGCGAAATGAATGGCACGCCGATTTGCGTTAGTTCTTCAACGTGTACGACGGTTCCTCGAAATTTCAAATGACGCAAACAAGTAAAGAAGCAACTTACGTCGGAAATGAGCTGTTCTTTGGCATCGGTTTGCGATTTAATTTGATGACCCGGGTGCTCTTGAGGAGTCGCGCACGCTCTACAAAGCGCCGTGCAACATGTCGCACACCATAATGCCAGCGGCATCCCGTGTGTGTGACAGTTCTCGCTCTACGAAAATATTAAACGTTATCGATCCATTTTACGCTACCACCACGTGTTTATACACGAAAAGTTTCTTCCGACTTTTCAAGACCAAACTAACTAAAGACCTCGTCTTTACTGTTAAAAATTTTTTAAAGAGAAATAACGTACTTGCGAGACAGTCGCTGAAATTATCACAAATTCGAAAATAATCGTCCAGATTCTCTTACATCATCTTATTACTACTAGAATAGTTTACTTTCTTTTGGAATTGTGTTCGGTATAGTTGTTTACTCGCGACGTGTCGCATATACATTTTGCATTTGAACGTAAAATATATATTCCGTGGTTTTCGATGTCGACAAAAAAGTTCAGCGGTTATCGCGATCTTACAGCAGTCGCGTTACTTTCTCGAATAATTTTTCGTCGTCTAAATCTCGTACATCTTAATTCTATCCAGCAGAGGTGTTTCACGGTAAATTTAGATGAATCAATAATCGCGTAATTTAACGTTCTCGTGCAATCTTCTCGTTCAGAATTAATTGATATATTTTCCATATATTTTATCGATTTAACTACAGGAATCGTTTACATAATTTGCTATATATATTTGAAGGAAATTGTGCGCACTCCACGGCGTTTTACTCCTAAAGGAAAATATAGGAGAAGATCGATCGGCGTTACCTTCCTCTCCTTGTCACCGGGTTTGCCGGACGTGTTGTTCGTCGTGATTTTCAGACGGGACAGATTATTGGCCAGGGCAAGTAGAGGAGAGTGAGTCGGTAGAGCGTCCGGACCTTGATCACCCAGATCCGTCTTCTTCCAACAGTGCGCGCAAAACAGATCTCGCCCCTTCAGTAGATTGCTCTCGATGCAACGCAGGCAGAAGTAATGCTTACAGCTGAGATACTTGGGACATTGTTCCGCGTCATTGTACTTCTGCTTGCAGCAACCGCAAAGCGTCAGCTCCTCCAGGTCCGTTAGCACGCTCGGATCCAGCATCTGGAAGTGCAACATACATTGTACACAATGTGCATACTTGCACATTTTTGCGATTTTCTAATAGCAAACACACACATACACATCTCAGGTTGCGAACGTACGTCATTTTGACACCAAATGATTATTAAACGTCAAAATTATGTCATTTTGAAATTCCATCGTGCTTATACTCGTGATGTCGACAGTTCTTATGAGATTACATGCGAAGAGTTGCATATGATCCCAAATAAATGACGTCACTTTGACGTTTGATGACGTCAGAGTGCTACTTGGGATCATATGCAACTTCTCGCGTAAGAATTGTTGAAACCATGAGTCTAACAAGATGAAATTTCTGCCGTAATGGAATTAGATCGCTATTCTGATCTCATCGATCGATGTATTAAATTTAGATACGTCGCGAGATAACGGAGTTTACGCCGCGACTCGAATCGATTTTGCTGTATATCAAAGTTTATCAGCGATAAACGACACAAGTTTTCGCATTATCGCTCATATACCGAATATTTCGTTATTCACTCTCGAGCGCGCGAGACAATTCAACACTCTCATCTTCATTCACTTTACGCGGGAATTACCTGTTTAAGTAACATCACGCCACGGAATTAATTACGAACGTAGCGTCCTCGTGCTCCTGAAATTGCAAGGACATTTTTTTAAATTTGAACGCTGCGCTGATTTTCGGCTCTCTTAACTCTCGGACACATTCACGCGAAATTGTTTACCCCTCGATTGATTCTCAACGGGAGAAAACGCGAAGAATCGCGGTATGAATCGAGATCTGTATTCATAATAAACATGACGAGGCGAACAGGTTTGTCTCCTTTGATAAACAGAGCCGAAACTTCACCGCGTGCGCGCAGGAATGTTCCGATTCACGCGGAACGTTGTGTAATTTACGACGGGAAACCCTAAAAGGTCAAGTCTTCCTATGTATGTAAACAAACTCGGTACACGCGATCCTCCATCTCTCTCTCTCTTTCTCTCATTTTTTTCCCGTTATCCCAACATCGCCGCTTCTTCTCTCTCTCTCTCGCGCGCGCTCCGACTTGTTTAATATATTCCTACAATTATTTATTACTACGCGCCGTAGACTCGTCTGCCATCCTGCCATGGACTTTCCCGATTTCAAGTACGAAAGCGCGAAAGCAACGTCGCCACGTCGGCCCATATTCCTTGACCCATATCGCACTCGTGCGTCATCGAGTCATCGACGAGTCCTCCGACGTTAATAAGCGGTCTTCAAAACCAAATCGCGTCCCGGCATTGTTTACACGCGTATTAACGACGCCGATTTAAGCCGGGACAAAGGCCCGCTCTCGTTTTTGTTCTCGCCGGAGAACGACTGCTTAAATACGGCGGCGGCGTTTCGGGAAGCGGGACGCGAATCGATACGCGACGCAGGTACACGTGACGACGTGGTAAACACACTCGCTGATCGCTCGATTCACCCGAGGCCCTCCCCCCCCCCACCACCCCCCGAGGAAACCACCACGGTGACCGCGCGCGACGAAAAGGCGGGAAAGCGCGACTTGAACTCGCCCGCGACACCGTTCGCCCTTAATCCTTCCGCTTCGAAAATGTCTCGACCAACTTTCTCCGACCTTGACTTTTTTTTTTTTACGAGATTTTCGTTAATTGTTGATAAATACGACGTGTAACGATGTACCGTTCGAAGTGTGATGAGGACAAAATTCTAAAGTATGTTATACAATATTTTAGAAGGTAATTAACATGAGTGTCCGCGCAAAGAGGGCATTTGCCCTCTTAGAATAAAAAATTAAGCTTTTGCTCTCCTTTTGAATAAATACTTGAAGAATTTATATTTACATGTTTAATATAAAAATGAAAAGAAAAATAATAAATTTTAAGAAAAGAAATCCTGCGGACGTCCATGGTAATTAATGTTTTTTTCGGGAAATCTATCTCGATATCTGATCTTGATCTTCACGTATGTGTCATAAATACAGAATGTATCTAAATAAATGCGAAAAATTTTAGGATGCGATTCTTTGCCGAAATTTAAGAAGGGTTTCTTATATAAACATATACTTTTGTATCCTTCCCTGAAAAGTTATACTTTTCTAAAGAAAGAGGTAATAATCAAGTTTTTTTCTCAAATTTCAACCAAATTAAAAAATGTAACTTGGTGCATACTTCCTGTTTCATTTTTTTTTTATTTGTCTGAAAATTGAGAAAAGAAATATAAACTTAATTTTTAGAAAAGTGTAACTCTTCAGGGAGGGATATAAGAATATATATTTATATAAGAATTAATTTTTCTTAATTTTCGATAAGAATTATTTCCTAAAATTACAATCTGTATATAATATATAACCAAGATAATTAAATTTTTTCAATCATTGATTTTTTCATGAAACAAAATCTAAAAGAATGTAACAATTATTTTGAGAAGAATACAATAACAGCAATATGACATAATGATAGTATAGCGTGACTCGAACTTTGTGTTTAAAATTACAGTTAAAGTCACTTATTCGTGATTTTTTATAGTTAATATTCGATGCCGAAAGGATTATATAGCAACAATATTATATTTTCAAGATACTTATTTTTAGAACTTGAAACACCACCTGCTATAATCTGTTTAAATTAACTTTGAACATGCTATGGAAATAACACGATTCTTATCGAAACTTATCGATTCTTATCAGAAACTTTGCATTTTCTAATGATATAATATATTACTTCATTAATTTTTATTTTTTTTTTTTAGCTTCCGATTAAAAACCTCGTGCGAATATTAACCTTTAATAAGTCATTTGATGCACATTATTTTTGTAAATCAATTGATCGAATTTAGAATGATAATTGAGCAATTTTTCTTCTCCCTTTGTATTTCAATTAAATATTTATAAAAGTATACAAAATTATTTAACGAAATGAAAATTTCACTTAACCGAGACAATTTGCTATAAGATAAGCAATAATAATTTTTCAAGCATACATGTAAATGCGAAATTCTCTTCAAGAAGCAATTACAATAAATTCTGTACATGACATCTGTTCTCCGAAGCGTAAGAATTAAATACACAGCCGTAAATAAACAAGGAAGCCACGTTTCTCGGAAGTATTAATTGACAATAAGACGTTCTCGAAGAAAGAATGCTGCCAAGAGCAAACGAACGTAACTCGCCGAGAAAGAGAGGTTATGTAGACTGATATTCGGATATCGGCACGATAGATAAGTCATTATGCAACGAGGACTAGGCTCGAGGAGCCCGAGTTTGCGAGCTCACGAGAGAGAAAGAGAGAGACAGCCAGCCAGAGACAGAGAGAGATGACACTTGACACGTTCACGCGCATGCGCGGGAAATCCCGCCAAAACCATCGGCGGGCAGAATCGGGAGGATGGGTGCTTCCGAGGATTCGCCATTCTTTAAGCGCGACGTTGCCTCTCTCGCGCGCGCGGCAGACGCAAGGGAGGAGGGAAAGGGGGAGGGGGGATGAATCCCTCGGACCGAGGCGCCAACGAGAGAGAGAGAGAGAGAGGGAGGAGGAGGAAGGACGATATATCGAGTGTTCGCGGCACTTGTTCGCACTCTTCAACTAAAGCACTCACTAAAAAAGAGCGGCTCGCTTGGTGACGCTTCGAGCCTCCGCTCGAGAGAGAGAGAGAGTTACCTGCCTACGCCGATAGAGATTCGCGACGACGAGCCGACATTCGGGTCGAAAACCGCTCGCGGACTACTGCGTGTCAGATTCCGCGGGAATGTTGTGCGCGCTCCGTCTCGCTCCCTCCCTCTTTCGGGACGCGCGCGCGCGCGCGCACTGCGACGTCTCTCCTTTTCGCTCCGTACGCTCTCTCTCGCTCACTTTCGCGCGTCGCTCTCCTTTTCGCACACATACACACACACATATATATATATATATATATATATAGGTCTCTCTTTTTTTGATCAAGCATCCGATACATGTATACTCCAACATTTTTCCTCGATTTAATCATTCATTCTCTCTCTTGCTCCTTTTATTTATCGAAAGAATGTAAATGCTCCGTACCGTGTAAACGTTTCGCGCTCGTCTCTCTCCCTGCCGCGTTATGGAAGGCTGACCGTTGGCACTCGGCACTTGTGCCGCGACGATGCTCCACTACGTATACGTTCGGATTCGACTTACATCGGTGCCTGACGTCGGTGCCGCGCGCACCGAACAACAACCACCACCACAATCTACCACCACGAGCAAAGCACCACCACTAACACGGGTTGTCGTTGTCGTCACTGTCGTTATCGTTGTCGTGTCGTTGCTGTCGTCGTCGTCGTCCTCGTCGCCGCCGTGTTCTCTTCGTTTTATTTTTTTCCCCTTTACTATAATACGTATATCCTCTCTCTCTCTCTCTCTCCTCTCTCTCTATCTATCTACAATCGTGTGTCTTGTGTGTGTATATACTTTTTGTACTTTTCGCGTTATCGCGTTTATCGAACGTCGTGAGTGTTACTGTGGATAACATAACGACGGTGGTTGCCGGTTTAACGCGGCGTGGCTACTACGGGCCCTTAGCTCGTGCGAACGTTTTGCCACATCATGATGTTTGGTTCACTAAACTAACCACTAGCATGGCGGCGACGACCGACCGACCGACCGACAGACACACACCGCGAGCGCGCGCTGGTCGCTTTGCGCGCCTCTCGTCTCTTCTCCCTCTCTTTTCGCTCCTCCACTCCTGTCTCTCTCCGTCTTCGGCCGAGTAGTTCGTATCTCTGCCGTCCGTCGACGGCGCTGTCGTCGTTCCGCGACGCCAATCGCGGCTCATTTCACTTCGGTGAATCCTACTTTATGGCGGGAAAACGTCGGCCTAGAGGAAAACGCGTCGTAGGAATTATTTATCATTTCTTTTTCTCTCCACAGCAACAAGTGGCAAAGTTATTATACATGAGCAACGTCTTTTCAGTCTATGCTGAGATTAATAATGATTTTTTTTTCATGTATTTGTAATTTTGCAACTTTTTGTGTGTTCAAGAATATGAAAAATTTAAATAATTAAGTTTTATAAAATATATTACATAGTTCAATTAATTAGAAGAAAATTTAGTCTGGAAATTTAGATAATACGAGCTTTCGTTTGTATTTTTAAGGAGATGCAATATTTTTACTTGAAAAGATAATAGAAGTAAAAATAAAAATATCTATGTTACATCTGATCTCTCATGTACAAAATAAAAAAAGTTACAAGATATGCGATACATCAAGGATTATTATAATGTATTAATTGAATACATTACACTAGTAGAAAATAAATATATATATATATAAAAAAGTAACATATAATATATGTTTTTGTTTTAGGAAAAAGACACATACGGGAACGAAGTGACAAGATTAGCAAGACCTTTGCCAGTAGAATATTTATTGGTGGATGTACCTGCATCCACACCGCTTACTCCTCAATTCACTTTCTTCACAGATGACAACATCACTCCATTTCCAGTTGAAAACAGGTAAAATATCTATAATAAAATAAATATAAATCGATATCAGAGACATAGATTTTCACATAATCAACATATAACATCTTTCATTTCAGACAAGTTGATGGACAAGTTCAGGAGTTTAACGCATTATGCACTTATATGCAGCAATTCAATGCGGATCAATTTTTGGAAGCAACTTCTGACTTCCACTTGCTTCTCTTTATCGCCACCATGGACATGTATCCGATGAAGGTATCAATCGATTAATTAATAATATTGTATCAATAATATGGCATTATTAATAATAATTCTATTGACAATATGTTATTTTTTATTTAGGATCACATGTTACCATTACTCGAAGCTATTCGCAATAAAGATAAAGAGAAGGCATTGGAGTGGGCCCAATCGGAGCATTGGGCGACAGTGGAGCAGCTCATATCCGCGGCCTCTACATCGCCACGTCCTCTGCAAACCATGTCCTTTGGTGGTAGCTCGAGGACGTTGCCTTCCGTGACTGCAGAAGCCAGTGGAGGATAGGCGTTGGTACAGAGCCGATTGCGAATCCGCCTCCGGATCAAGCTCTCTGGACATGTTCTCATTGCACTTTTCTCAATGCTGCGGACTTAGCAGTTTGCGAGATGTGCAATCTGCCAAGGTATTCGTAATAAACTGTCAAAGCATTAATGATGAATTCCACATGTGTTTATGGGGGTGCTGTCTTTGAATCTACTACTCGCTTCCGCAGGACTTGACGCGTACCGTGTCCTTGCGGATATAACAATTGTTTTCTACGCATCTTTGGCCTTATTTATGAGTGAATAAAAAAAAAGAAAACAAAAACGAAAGCATTTTTCCACTGATATATTTTTTTTACGCTACCTGATTTTTTCTTCCCCTCCTACTTCCTTTTCTCTAACATTGTTTTTACAACTAGTTTTTTAACTGTTTGATTAGAGATTTTATAGATATTAATCCTAACAAGAGATTGTATTGAAGTTTTGATAGACGAATCGAGTCTGAATTAGAAATATTTATTATGAATTTTTATATGTTTGCAGAGAAGATGTCGAGGAATATGATGAAGAAATGATGAGAGAATTGTTTTAATAATAAAATTGTTTACACACATTTATAAGTTAATCAACGCTGCTTCAATTATGAAATTTATGTTAATTATTTGCCATAAAAGAATTCATAAGTATATAGCTTTCGTGTATACTATTTTTTTCACAAATATTCTTAAGAATATTGAATATATGTGCATTATAATACGTAGGATGTATAATTTGCAAAGGAACAATTATCATAAATGCAGTCAGGATATATAAGTGATAGATAAAAAAAAAGAATCATAAGTACAGATTATTTAAAACATACTTATATTTTAAATATATCTTTTCCTATAATAATAATTGATATAAACACACCTTTACTTTCTTCAATCTTTGTTATAACATGAACTCCTTACAGCTGATCCTTGATACGATAGCATTAAGAAGACTAGAAACACGCAATTCATCTTTGTTGATTTTGTAGGTTTTCATTATAAGATTCGTGTCTGCAAACTCCTGTATTCTTGAAACAGGTGCTCTTTCTCCTTCGATACTACCTAAGACTTCTTCCAATGTAGATTGTTCCTCGTGAAGCTCATGTATCAATATTACCAGGATATTCTTGTCACTATCATTGATACCAAATTCAGTCAAGGCATGTGATATCTTTTTAGATGTCGATAAATAAAATAAAATCTCCGTGTACATAGTCTTGGTAATTAATCGATTTTGTTTAGCATTGAGGGCAGCTTTGTTGACAGCCACCACCGCCTGAAAAGCGTCGATTACAAGTGATGCTTTCACCACGCAACAACGAAGCTTTCCAGTGACGACTTTTTCGCGAATTTCAGCAATATTCGTAACATCAGTAAATAAATACATCGAGCAGTAGAGTCCAGTCTCTCGATCTAGCTCAATTTTGTAATCGTCCATCTTAATCCTTGCAGCGTCGACAATTACGATTATTTAAATCTCGTCGTCAACCGGAAAATACTTGGGCAATATTTGCTCACACGCGTCACGACTTAGTGATACTATAATAAATGCTTGAAAGATACGTGCAATTTCGAATATAACGTAAACGCACGTCAAACGTCAAAATTCCTGATTTTACGCACGTGTGAAAATTTTTCGCGCATTAACGCCCTCGCAGCAGTTAAAACAAGAAACACTTAGTCAAAATCTCATGGTAAATAAAAATCACATGATAATAGAAGAACATAATATAACGAGAAAAAGAGAAAGCGCGTACGTGCAGAAATTATTTTTGAATGAAGAAAGATAAATATGAATGAAATGTACGGGAAAAAAGAAGTAACACAGGAATAATTAAGATAGCGAGAAATTTAAATTGATCCTCGCGACAGTCGAGACAATTATAATAATACGTATAAAGTGAGACACTTGTTTGATATATATACATACGTATACCGCGCGCGAGCGAGAGAGAAAAACATCAAACGTCAAAGGTCAAAGTCAACTGCGCATCACGTTCGCGCTCCTGCTCATCCCCACTCTTCGGCTTCCCCCACTCCCCATTCTCCGGCAGCCCCCACTCCAACTCCACTTATCCCTACTCCACGTCTCTCCCTCTCCGCAGTTAGTCGGTGCCGGGCTGCCGGTGCGAAGCTCCGCGCGATTTTCAAAATATCGCTTCGATATCCCGCAAATTTTCGCGTTCGCAATTTCCGACACGACCGCGTTACTCGTGCGATCTATAATATCGAGTGTGTTAATTATTTCATAAATATTACGTTGTTAATGAGTGTTAAAGATTATCTTACATTCGCGATTTATATTTGAGATCATATATACATTATTATAGATATGTCGCTATATTTTTCAATTCGAAATCTTTCGCTCTAATTGGTCCATACTTGACAGGAAGGACGGACGTGAACCAATCAACAGTTTTGCCGAAAAGTGAATTTATAAAAATCTTTCTGATGCAACAGTTGGCACGAGTGAGTGACAGCCATATTTAATTCGCAGATACGCGAATTAAATATGGCTTTGTGCTCCGCGCTCGTTTAAAGTATTGCGCGACATTATTTACGATATCGGGATGTGCTTGTGAATATATCGCGGGTGTCGAAGAAACGAAATTGATTAATTACAGTGATTAATCGCTATAATCATAATTATTTCGTGATACGCGGCCTTACGATTTGCATCCGAGATACGGTTTAAAATACGTAGTATCGGGAAAAAGTAACGGGCGGTCGTTTTATTTTGTACATATATATATTTGTATATTACGTGGATATGGTGCGAATGTGTGAACAGTTTTGTCCAGTAAATTCTGTGCGACAGGAAGTGCCGACAGAATATTTCGAGTGTCGAGAAAACAGAATCAACTGCAACAACTACAACCGCAATCATAACTGCATTAGACAAGGTAAGAAATACATTAGATACGAAGTGACAATCCGAGTTACGATTTTAAAGTGCGACAGTTCTGTCAAATAAATTCGTTCACGATCAGGAAGCATTGTTAATTGTATTAAGAAAATCGTAGATTATTGAAGATATAATGATCTTCTTTCTCATTTCTTTTTAATTCATATTTCATAGTATAATATAATTTGCAGAAATATTTCAATATACGAGTTAAAAAAAAAAAAATATCGGGAACTCGGAAAGTGGCGCCAACTATCGGCGACAATTTTCACTAACTACGAATCCTTAGTAGGTAAAGTAACATTATGCATTATCTTCTTTTTCTGTTTATTTTTATATACTCCTATATATACGTGTTTGTATGTGTACGTGTACGTGACGTTTAAAAGGTAATGATATTATAAAATAATAAAGAGATAATTTGTTATATTGCATTTTTTGATAAATATAAATGTGTTGTGAAAAATTTTTAAATAAAAATGAATATTTAATAAGTTTATTTTATTTTATTTTATCTTTTTAAGGTTAGAATGTCAAAGTTTTGCTAACTTTATCATATTTACGCAGAGAAAAAATATTTCGGTACTATTATTAATATCTTATTAATTAAATCTGAAATGCTAATACGAAAATAAAATACACTTGGATGTGTCATTTGTCAAATAAATATTTGTCTGAAATATATGCATGAAGGTAAGATATATTTATAGAGATTGTTATAATGCATAACTTTGTAGGGATATTTTTTAAAGAAAATAAATATTTGCCTGATAAGTGTACGAAGATAGAGTACAATTAGATTTTTCGTTATGATCATCATGTATATTCAGAAACGTTTTTTTTTTTAATGTGGCGTTTAAATAAAAATGTTTCTAATGTCTTGAAATTTGCTGTTTTTAAAATATATACGCTTCATTTGTCAAACTGTTGCATACTATACTCTCGTTACATATCAAGGAAAATTTTAGATAATTATTGCTATATTTTATATAAAAAATGAAATCTAATTAAAAGGTTTAATTTGTATCATTGCTAATTATAATGGATGATAATACATTGCGCGGAAGTATTCTGGATCGATTATTCGATTGCGGTAAATTTATCTCTTCTAATATTGAAAAAATAATGTGCAAAAGAATTTCATATAAGTATTGTCAATCAAGCATTACATTATATTACATTTCACATAAGCATACATATTCACATTGTCTAATATCAATAATTTTGATATTTTTCTTGGATAGAAATTAATTTAAAAATTACTTTAAACATTTTGAAAATTTTAAGTACACTTTTGGTAATTAATTTTGTAGTACACTCAGCAATTAAACAAGGTACGGAGCAATTTAAATCAGCGTGCCCTAAGAAAGAAAAATTGAGAAAAAAGTGTACTGAATCTAAATTGGAGAAAGAGGAAGACATAGGTCCACCTTGTATCGAAAAACGGCCATACATGCTTCCCAGTCAAATTTGCCCTAAAACAGTCTCTTGTTGTTATATAAAAATGCAGGTATAAATAAAAATATAATACATCAATATATTATTATTTGTCTGTACTTAAATTCGTTATCGGGAAAATAACGCAAAGCATCTCCTATTACTAATCGAATGGTATTCTACAAATTGGGTAGAATAAATCCAAATTTACATAATTTTCTTTTATATATGTTGAATATATTTTTTATTAAAAATACAAATTATAAAATATTAATTAGGCAAAATGTAAATAAATTAGAATTATTCCATTCACATTTTTAAGTACAAATAAAATAAGAAAGAAATACATCAAGTAAATTATTATATTCTGTTAGGTAATAACATTTGTTGTGATTAAAATATATATTACATTATACATTTTTTTATTTGATTTAAAATTGAATAGAAATTTTTCTCCTTTTTTTATTTCTGTACATAAAATTTTTGTGTATATACCGCTTCATATTTTTGCATTGAATTTTTTCAATTCCAACCACAACTTCATATAGGATCCTTATGCTCCCTGCTGTTGCGAAACAAAGCCACAACCTCCCCCGTGTCCTCCTAAATATCGTCGGCCACCACGAAAACCGACCTGCGGTTGCGATCTTTGCGAAAAAAATGTTGAGAGCAAATGCTGCAGTTCGAACGTAACTTCTCATGGTTAGCCGATAATTCTAGAGAAAATATATTTAAAAACTCATGCAAAATTTAATTAGCACGTTCAAACAGGCTGTACACATAAAATATATGTGTTATAAATTAAAAATATTAAAATAAAGAAACACACATAAAGAAAGAAGAATCACTTAGATTATACATGACCGTTTTTACAACATAGATTTAGTATGTCGTTTTTTTTTACTTTAGCTTTCTCTAATTTAAGCCTACAATCAGCACATTTTTTTATGAATTTTTCTTTATTATAACACGCTGATATAGTTGCTCTGTATGATATGTATAATTTCTGGATCTATAACTTATATTAGTTGTCTGAATAATTTTCCTAAGACGAATAAATTTCGAAAAATGTTTAAAATAATCTTCTAACTAATTCTTATACGAGAAAGATGTTAATCATTTAATCAGGTTTTTATGTAATACGCTTCATACATTCAAATGTATTATGTTGACAGTTTTTTTCGTATTTATCATCATTATTTTCATCGTTTCTTAATAAGTCGGTATTTTCTTGAAATAATTTGTTTTTCTAACCAAATGATTAGATATATATATATAATATATCTTCGTTGCCTCAGAACTTTATTTGATAAGTTATAATGTATTCGGATATATATGCACATTTTTTTCCGTAAGTATTAATAAGATATACATATCATAATTTAAAACGCGATAAGTAATCAGTTATTTTTTTCTAAGCACTAATACGATAGTGCTCATGTTTTTGGAATGTATAACGCTTTTATCAAATTTTGTTTTCTCTACAGTCGCAAACATCATGATAATATCAGGGAAAAAATATTTTAATAGTTATTGAATAATTAATAATCATATTGGGGTAATTAATTTAAAATTTTTTAAAACATGTATTTCTAATTTAAATTTCGACGTGAGTAAATTAAATAAAAAATTCCACATTGATCGATTTAGATTTAAAACAAATAATTATAATAAAAGGTGTGAATTTAATAGAAAATTTAGAAGCAGATTTATACGTATTTTTGTTCACCTTAGTATAATTTATGATATTGAAACTACTATAACAAAAATGACGCATGCGGTCTTCGCGATAGGTTAAATTTAGGTTCTTTCGTTTGCTTTTACGCGAATACGCATACTCAGTAAACCCACCTAAGTAATCTTATCAATAGCAAAGCTATGTGCTCGAGTCGGGGATATCCATTTTGATCAAGTCAGTTATCTGCAGGATACGCCTGTTCGACCGTGCTAAAAATTTCGTCATCTTTAATGTAAGTCTACAAAGTAACGTTTTGCATAAAAGATTTACTCATTATGTATATGCAGTCTTACAGTTTTTTTTCTATCTTTTACTATCTATTATTCCACATTTTCCATATAATTTCCATTAAAAAATAAGATCGAATGATACTTTAATATATATCGTAATATAAATTAATATAAAATATAGAAACAAAGCTTCCTCATAAAGGAGAAATAAATTTTTCAATTATATTTAATTATAATTATTCTTATATCATTATTTTCGAATATTATTAGAACATTAGCACATACTTTTCTCTTTTGATAGTATAGCTACTTTCAAAACTGACTAAAATTTTTTTATATTATTGATCCCGGGCTAAAGTCAAACTCATTTATTGATTATGTAGCATAACATATAGATAGATGTATAAGATGTTTCACAAAACTCTCGCGACTTTAATTTGAATAATGGATAGAAAAGAATTTTTTAGAAATAAAGTTATTTTTTAAAATAAAATATAATTTCTGAATCAAGCCATTAAAATAGAAGTTTCTCACAAATTAAATTTTAAGTTTCCCATTGGTTGATAAAGGCAACCGTACATTATTTTACTTAATTGTTCTGTTTTTTATAATATTACGAGTACATTAACTTTTTCAATTAAAAAAACGTTTTTATTAATTATGATTGCCCTCGAAATAAATCACTCATACAATCAATCTGCTATCGCAGAATATCGTACAAATTTTAATTCGAAGGATGAGCTCGCGACTGATAAACGTCAAGTTGTTTGCCAACTCGACACCTGTTGATTACATTCAAGCATGCGCGTCTTTCCATATTTGGTCATACTATCGATCCTTTATTTGCACGATATTTCGACTTGTTATGAACGATTAATCGATCACACGAGTGAATCGACTAAAACTCGATGAGAGTTGACATGGTGGCTGGTGAATAAGTATAAGTGGGAAGAGGAATGCGGTTTAAGTCTTCTGGAGAAGACCTTACTTGTGTTTCTGAATTAGTCAGACGACTTTCCCCAATTGTCAACTGCCGCTTCAGATTTTGTTCATCAGGTAAATTAATATATATACATTTGTAGCACTGTATATATTTTGTAAAGAATTATCATGCGGTGCAAAATTATGACAGATGCCAGACTGTCTCGCGTGTGAGTCATACTCATCACCTATTTGACGTCACACTCGTTCGTGTATACAGTTATGCGTAGTTACATGACTGGAAATCCCAATTCCTTAGGGATTGTTAGGGCATTCAAATTAAAATCAATTCAACAATTATCATTACATAATCTTGTGCTACATTTTTTAAGTATAATTATTTTTATTTATTATTTAATGTATTAATTATTTAATTAAAAGTAAATAATCCATATTTCTACAATATATAATTACTAAAATTGTTTCTGTTAGAAAAGAAAATTTGATTCTTTTCTAGATTTTTAACACCAAAGTGGAAAAAAATGTTTCATTGTTATATAGTTCGTAAAAAGATTTTATATATTATTACATGTAATATTTGAATAATCTAATAATATTTGTGTATTTTTTTTCTATCTTTTTTAATTCAATAGAAACTTGTGAAAGCTTTCAGATTTTTAAAATTGATTTATTATAGTTTCCAACTTCCATTTTATAAATATAATATTCAGGCAATTTATTCATTTTTAAAAAAGGCATAAGAGGATTAATTAATTTTTTTTATATTTTGTAATAATCCATATTACTAATACAGTAAAAGATTTTTATTCGAACAGTAACTTGTTGATTTCTTTCAATGAACTGGTATACTACTCGTAAAATCGATATTAAGGTGATATTGACTTTACAAGTATGAAAGGTCGATTGTTATATTTGATCTTGATATAATGCTGGACAAGTAATATTGATACATAAGAAATAAGACATGCGTAAATACGATGAAAGGTGTAAAGCAAAGCTAAATTTGTAAATCAATTTTAGAATATATACTTAGAATTGCTTTATTTTATAGAAATAACTATTATACATTAAAAAGTTTTATAGGAAAAAATTATCCGTTTAAAAGAATTAGAAATCTCGAAGTAATAAACATTTCTGTGACTAAATATAATTTCAGATTTTATTACTAATTTTAAGAGAGTAAAAGAAATTAATTAATTTTTAAAAATAAAATACGCTGATTTGCAAAGTGATCGGTATATTTATTATCATGTGTTTGTTCACTTTATTATATTATAAAGATTAAAAATTATTGTGACATACATAACTCTTTGTATAACTCTTTACATATAATTGTCTTGAAAAATTGATTAACTGCTTATTAATATTTTAAAAATCGTACTTATTCCTTCGAAATTTCACTTCATTCACTTTTATGCAGTTTACCCTTATCGCGAGACTACGATATTAACAAGTTGCTCACAACTATTCAGGATAATCCCGTAGAATAAATATAGAATAACCGGTTTAACCACATTATATATCTTTCAAGCGACTTTTTCCTTAGTCTACGTAAAAAAATATATTTTGTATGGCTATGTATATACAAACTTGGCTATTGCAAGGTACTTTATTTATAATGCATATTTTCATGTTATAATGTGCATCAAAATAGTAAAAATGCATAATATGACAACTTACTTCTATGATTATTTATTGAAATAAAAATTGAACAGAAAGTATTAAATACTTATTAATACATTAAAAAATTAATCTTTAACTAATTAACTGGTTAATTTTTTTTATCTATAAAAGTGAGAATAGATTTTTTAGTCATTAGACTTTTGTTAATAAATAATGAACACTTTTGTAAAAAAAAATATAAATACTACAATTTTATATTGTAACACATATAAGTGAGAAGCACAAAGAGAAACGTAAAAAAACAATTTGGAATGCTATGAAAAACGCAATAATAATCGATGACATAATTGTGCAAAGTATAAACTAAAAGACATAGGACAAAATTATAATTTCCGTGAGTTCACTTTTACACAGTTTTATTTATTTTCTTATTTCGAACTTGGTGGAATTATACCGAGTTTAATCTTTCATTAAAATATATATCTCTTTTTATGTGTTTTTCGTTCGTGACGCGATCCAAATCGATAATCGCGATATAGATCGACAGTCAGCTTTCTTTGAAGAAAGGGAAGCAGAGCGACGAATGCGGTGACGTTTTTTCGGATTTCTGTAATATTCGTGCGTTTATTTCGGGTCAATGTGTGACGCGCGCGCGAGTTCCTCAGGGTCACGATCGAAGATCGATTAGGTGTCGGAGCGATTTGAGTCGCTCGAACGCGCGCTTCCTCACTATTGGTCGCACCATCACGATCGTCTACGTCCGACTCCCTCCTCTCAACGAGAACTGGGATTTTCCTGTCGGGATACCAACGCGATCGCTATTTCATGCTCGTTCGTCGGCTTGTCCTTCGCAGTACGCATTTGACGCTCAAAGGAAACGAATTCCCGATAGACAAGATGCGTACACGTAAGTAGATTCAATCGACAGCGACTAATCGAACTGGCTCTTATCTCGCGTGGCTTATTTCTTTTTCGATTTACGATCAATATCGCAAGCAAGTTTGATTATTCTCTTATAAATCCGCGAAACGTGCGAAATCGTTCATTTCAGATTTCAGATTTTGAGGCTGCAGATACACGAAAAGAATTTTTTTCATGTTTATTAAAGACATTCGTTTATTAATAAAGAAATTCGTATACAATTCGAAAATTAAATCAAATTATCGATATAAATTGAATTTGTATGTACATTTAATTAGATTGTTGATTTTTCAATTCTTTTAGATCAATAAAAGTTTTTCATATACATGTTGTATAAATTAAGATTTTTTTAAATTCAAGAAATAATTTTAGCAATATAAAAAATTAATTGAGAAACAGATTAGTGAAGATGTTAATTTTAATTAATCTATCTTTTAGTTTAATCTTCAAATATCTATAAATAATTTTTCAATGTTTTCATGTACCCAATTTATTACAGATCTAATAAAAAATTTCAGTTTATTTTTCCTCTATGAGTATAAAGAGAATATTTTCAAAAAATAAAAACAAAAATTGAAAACATGACAAGGAAAGAAAAGTCACACGAGGTAAGAACGAGCCATGGACAAGGTTCGAAACAGAGAGCAAACATAAATAATGAAAGAAAGTGAGACCACAAATGAAAATTGTATCGAACTGTGAATTAATTTAATTAGCTTCTTATTTTTTCTTTTGCGCATTAATAAGATCAATTGGATTATCGGATATGATCGTTCTCGTGGCCACGATAACCCTAAACATGATCTCTGCATATAAATGTGCTGTTATCGATGTTTCACCAAATTTCTTGTTATTTGACGACGTCTTATCAATACATACGAAATTATCGAACTGGTGATAATGCGATTCGGTCGTAATTCTCTCGTGATATTAGCTCCAAGGTGATCTGCATCGACGAGCTTTAGATACCGTTCTCATTCGTTGTGATTCATTTCGAGTTGCATAGGCTGAACTTTTCTTTCATTATCAGTCTATCATGTAAGAATCGATATATGCGATCATAATATATATATACGAGTATATATCTATTATATCTAGTTATCATCAACGTGCAAATTTATGCTGGATCTCGATATGATTATACGGTTTTTATGCGGCATTGTTTCGCACATTGTATGAGTTTTAGCAAAAATTGAAAAAAAAGAAATATAAAAAATGTCTTATGAAAATTTTAAATAGAACAATGTTGGTTTATTTAGCTTGAAATTTATTATTGTGATTATATGTCATATACAATATAAATAATATTTTATACATAATATTATATACAATGAAAAGTGTGTAGTAAATTAGAATATTTTTACTTGGCATCTATATACAATAACTGTAGATTAGTTTCCACTTCTCGTTTTCTCTCAATTCCCAGTGATTTAAATTGATAAATTTATCATAGATTTATTATTTTTTTTTCTAGTACAAATAAATAAGATACAATATCTCTAAATAGACGAGACTGTTAAGTTACTTTAACTCTTGATACTCTCATCATGTATTCTTATTTGTTGTATCATAATCCTAATATTCACGACTTGCATTCAATATTTATACATATACACAAAAGATAATAAATTTAGTAAACTGTCGACTTATATCTCCGCAAATTCACAATATACTTATGAATGATGTATAACGTTTATTTTTACTTATTGACATTAGAAGCACAAAATAATCTCATAAAAATTCTCTGTAAAATTCCATCGTAAGATAAAATTATGTATTATCGACATCAAAAAAAGAAAAAAGATTTTAACGAAGAACTTTATATAATCTTATGAATTTTTATTAAATAAAATGTAATGTTACTGTTATTTTGGATATATATTTATAGCACATCGATTGATTAATTATACACAGGTATCATCGATTCAGCAATTAAATCTCTATTATTTTATCAGTGTTTTTATAAATATTCGTCTTATTAAAAACATGTTATTAAAAATCAATTTTTTGCTCATTTTTTTAATAAACTGTGGAAGTTTTCAACTACTACCAAGAAAGCTGTTGCATAGATTGATGTCATAAAGTTTATCCATTTGTGCTTCTTATATATAGTTATACATGATTAGTTGTGTTTATAACGAGATTGTTACATTAGCGTTTTGATGGGTTTTCCCGATGAGATAGAAAATGTCAATTTAATAGTTATCTTTGTGAGAGAGAAAGAGAGATGTTTGTTATTGACATCGCATCATTAAATATGATGGAATATCGTCACGTGTATTTATATATTGATCAATTCTTACTCTAAAACTACAATTTTAAAAATTATCTTGTGTATATATTAATAAGTGATGAAATTTTTCTATTTTGCAACTGTATTAGATAGAATGTTATTTTCAGAGAATGAAACATTTTTAGAATAATTAATGGCCTTCTTGAAATTCTTATTTTTTATATATAATAATCTTCTCACGTCATAATCACGATAAATATAGCTTCTTGTAATTTAGTATACTTAACTTGCTGCCTTCGTTATCATACAAGTAAGTTTTTTTCTTAATAATTGAAGATATGAAAATATAAAAAGCAGACAGTATGTAATATTGATACATTATTTTTCTTGTATGCGTGCTAGCATATATGTATATATATAGAGAGAGAGACAATTTTATATTCTTTTTGTGAAATTATTACGCAACAACAACATTAAGTGTACAAAATGTTCCCATATTTATTCTTCCTTTAAATAGGAAACATTGAAGGCCAAACTGTCAAGAATAGCAGTTCTTTCGATTATCAGATTATCAGATTATTGAATTGAAAGAGCAATTGAGAAAATTAATAACTAACTGGGAATTAGGTTTAGAAAGTGAACATATAATTAACGAAATACTGTATTTATTAATTTAATTTTAAAACTATAAAACATATATGAAAATGATAATTTGTTTGGTGGTGATAATCCAATCAATAATAAGCGCTATATTTTTGGCATAACAATATTTTTTCATATACTTATAAAAAATATAACTCATTAATCATCAAATTTATATTGTTTTCTATCCGTATTTTAAAGCAGATTTTTAATTTGTTAGAAACTTATAATTAAAACTTGAAAAAATTAATCTTTAAAATTAACTTTTAAGAAGATTGAGATTATACAGAAAAATATCCGGTAATGATTAGCTTTATTTAACATTTTTTGATTATTCACACTTTGATACTGTTTTTTATCATCACTATAAGTTACATAATTGTCAACATTTTGCCCTCCATTAATTTGATAGAATGAAATTGCTTAATTATACATCTGCTGAAGCAATATTTTTCATTATCACTTCAGTATAATTACTCTTATTTTTGTTTACCGTACTTTTTATCATTTTCCAAGAAACTTTGACCGCAATTAATTATAAATTTTTATCATTTCCAGTGGTGATTATATCGCAATCAAAATCGAAATAACACATAGACAACTAAAATAACAAAAAAACAAAAAATAATATATAAAATTATTACTATATCTTTAATTTATTCGCGAAATTTAATTCGTGAAAATTTTTCTCGTAATGCAAGTTTGAATTATATCTTTATTATTAAGTGTGATTTAAATTATTTAAAGGACATCAAAGTGAAAATATATGAAGAAAAAGTTAATTATTAATATTTATTTAATAAATTAAATTGACAATAATACAAGTCGCAAGTTGTTTGACACTATTTATGGTATGTTATATTAATGATTAACTTTGACGCGTGTTAATAATTCTGTACATATTATTTAATTGATTTTGAATTGTAAATTGTCTTGTAGATTTTTCAAAAATATGATTTTTGATTTATACATGTGGAAACATAACTCAAATCTCTTGCATTTATCTCGGAATTTCTAATAATAACTGACGTGAAAGAAAAATTATTGCAATTACATTGTTACACTATTCTTGAATATCTACATTGCATAATAGTCATGAATATGATTAATTATTAGTCATTATTTCTGAGTTAAATGGATAAAGGATTTATTATTGAAATTATTTGATTATATAAACAAAAATAGTGAAATTATTATTACAGAGTTAAAATAATTTACGAATAAATAATTACTTTACACAGCAATTTCTAAAAGATTCATGTATCACGTTGATATACATATAATACATATACAAATGTATACATGAAAGATTTTTGTGGTAGAGTAGGTTCGTGTTCACCTTGAACGACTTGTTCGAGACTTTATTTCAATTTATACGACCTTCACGTGCAAGTATTCACTTTTCGACAGCGAGTTTATAATGCTGAAAGTGATCATTTCTTTGCATTTAATTAAAATAACACAGATATATTGTTATATCAAAAAGCATTGAATTGAAAAAAATAGTATGTTATCTATGTTTTAAAGACAATTATACATATAAGCAAAATATTTAGATGTATTTTTATTTATATTATTATGTTGTTAAAAAAATTGATATATTTTGGAGCGCAAAATTGAATTAATATTATAATTGAATAATACTGAATTTTGAAATATAATTATCATTGAATCTTTTTCTTCTTATTATTGCAGTACAGAAAAGTCTTTTGACACTTTGTCTATTTGCAACGACCATGGCATCGCCAACTGGATCAACTGGGGCCCTTCAAGCTGTCTCTCAGGGAGCCCAATTGTTCTCCACCAACTTCGTCAAGGTACATAGAATTTAGATATTCTTAAAGAGAAAAAAGTATTATTAGGTTCTATTGTTGTATAATTTTTTTATGTTTATTATTCATTAACTTAGCAGCGCATAATTAAAATAATTATTATTAGAAAAAGTGAATTTTATCATATCTATAATATATAAATTTATCTTCTTAATTCTTTTTATTTTATATTGTTAGTATGAAATAATAAGATAAATGTTCAAAGCGCATAATTGTTTTCTGTTAGACTGTTGCAAAAGAACAGCAAGGCAATCTGATATCTTCTCCGTTGAGTGCCGACATTGCTTTAAGCATGGCTGCTACCGGCGCCGCTGGATCTACCGAGACACAATTTAGGGATGTTCTTAATCTTCCGTCGAAACCACAGACCCTGACCGGCTATCAGAATCTCATTGATACTTTGAACGTAATTATAAAAAATTATCATACATTGTCCAAGAATATTTATAAAAGTTGATATTTATATAAAATATAAATGCTCTAAGCTCACTGATCAAAATATTACCAAAAAATATAACATTTATAAAACATAAGTAAATATTCCGAATATAATTATCGGATTACATTATAGAATGTAATTATTTATGAATTAGTTTCAAAGTTATTCTTCATATACTTTAACATTTAATTCTCAAATGATCAAGAATATTTCTTTTTGCAGAATGTTGAAAATGTTACTCTGAAGCTCGCTAATAAGATGTTTATCGGCAAAGATTTCCCAGTGAAACCGCAATACAAACAAGATCTCCAAACGTACTATCGTTCTGACATTGAATCGGTGGATTTCAGTCAAAGCGCAAAGGCTGCGGATACCATTAATACATGGAGCAGGGAAAAGACCAACAATCGCATCGATAACATCGTTCAAGCCAGTAATGAGCAATTTGTATTTTAAGTCTACATCTGTTATATAATTTTAATGGTGATAAAAAATGCGGTTTTTTTCTATTTACTATTTTTTCATAAATAATTGAAAATATAAAACAATAGGAGCAAATAAAAAATAGCGAAAAATTTGGCAAAGTGATACTTTCACCATTTAGATATACTGTAGATGTCACATTTATATATATTCTATATTTCAATATAGAAATATACAGTATAAAAGATAAAGTTTTTTAAAATTATCTGATTTATCGAATTTTTAGTGAACATTGCTCATAATTTTGATTATAGGCGATTTAGATCCCTCTCTCGCATTAGTACTCGCGAACGCTGTCTACTTCAAGGGCAATTGGGCTCATCAGTTCGATTCAGCAGCCACCACCGATCGCCCGTTCCATGTTAACGCCAATACCGTAAAACAGGTTCCCACTATGTACAGGAAGGGCAATTATAAATATGTCGAGCTGCCGGAATACGAAGTTAAATGCATCGAGCTACCGTACGCGGTAATGTTGCTTTCCTAAATTTCGAAATTTTTCAAATTTCGAGAAACGAGATTCTTTTCAAATGTTTAAGATATTCTAAATTTTGCTTTTCTCCAAAAATTCTCATTTTACAGCGTTTTCATGAAGATTCATGAGTTTATTCTTATTATTGCAGAATAAAGAGGTCAGCATGGTAATTATTCTACCCGATAAGGTCGATGGTTTGCCCGCGTTGATCGAAAAACTCCAGGATGTTTCTACTGAATGTAGTGTCCGTCTTGCCCAAACATATGAGCGCGAAGTCCGAGTGTATCTGCCCAAATTCAAGACCGAATCCAAGCTGGATCTTGGAGATACATTATCTCAAAAGGTATATTGCAACATTTCTCGGATAATTAATTAATCCGTTTCACGGATATCTTATACAATTATCATTACTTGTTACAGATGGGTCTTTCTGAGCCGTTCAGCAATGCCGCTAACTTCAATGGCATTTCGGACGTACGCCTGAAGATCGACAAAGTTGTGCAAAAGGCTTTCATTGAAGTTAACGAAGAGGGCAGCGAAGCAGCCGCCGTCACTGGTAAGTACATCTTGTTTTATTTCTTGCACATTCGTGTTGGTAATCAAAACTTAGATGAAATATTATCTTGAAGTTTCGAATATACGTAAGTTATGATAAACAATTTAAAATGCAATTTAAATAATTTTCTTTAAACAAATATTTATATGAAATTCGTATAGAAGAATTTGTATAGAATTTTATTATCTCTTATTCTTATTTTATTGTTTATTTATTTATTATTTTATAATTTTATTATCTTATATATCTTCTTTGTTCTTAAAATTTATAAAAATTAGTTCTAATATCAACAAAATATATAATTTAAAAATATAATTTATAGTAAAAACAGAATAAAAATAATTAAGAATGTATTACGAACAAGATAGTATTTCACCAATTTCTATTTTTGGGATACATCGAGATTCTTTTTCGCTTTTGAGAAACTCTGAGAAATTGCTTTGAAGACGATTCGTTATGTCTGTGCATGTGTTTACGAAAATACAAAATTCCGAAATTCCAAATTCTTCGCTCTCGGAGTTTCTGCGGCACGGATGTATGTGATTTTGTACGCTGCCATGATTTTAAGCTGACATGAGTGTGATAGCTAAATATTGCTCACTTGCTTTTTAGATTGCCAATTTACGTGTCAACTTGCACTACTTTTCATGTCTTTCTTTCTTCTCTGTTTTTGCCTTTCTCAGTGTCTTAATTGTCTTTGATATATTATTGTCTTTGTCACTGCAAAATAAGCATTTTACCACACCGCATTGCATTTTGTTTTTGTCATGCACTTTTTACTCACACATGTATCTACTAATCATATTATTTCTTACATTAGACAGTGACAATTATATATAGCATTATAATTTATAAACAGTATTTATACTGTTGGTCGTTCTTGAATTATAATGACAAATGAGAAGGCTTGTAATTGAAATTTTATAATTAATATAAAATTTATAATAATTATGTAACGTTTCGGTGTCGTGATTATCAACACTCGACAAACGTTCGCATTTAATTTAAATTTTGCATATAATTTACATAAAAATATAACGGTGAGTACAAACAATCTGTGTTACACACATATTCCGAGTAGTTTTCTTTTGAAAGGATTATGCAAATGATTGAAAATCGAATGATTCAAGTTCGAAATTTGAAGATCTTTAAACATGATACTGTATATTTAAATCGGGCTTTACAAACTTTTCCGATTTTTGGAAAAAGTGATTAAATGCGGAAACAATAGAAGCTCTGAATTTTTTCAAACGTGAAATCATGTTTAAAGCAGACTTTACAGACTTGATATTCATCTCAATGTATGAATCATCCTTATCAGAGTTATGGTAAATCATTCATATCAATGTATCCTCGCGGAATTATGCAGTTCACAATCACAACGATAACGATGTAAGTACATGATAACAAGTCGTCCTCATGATACTGCGTGAATACAAAATCTCGATATACAATAAACAATATTTAATCATTTAATCACGCTAATCAAGTATAACTGCAGTAGTAGCTCAGACTAATGAACTCTACTCAGAAAAAGAAAGAGGAAGGAACGAAATTCTGAGGGAATATTTTTTAAACCTATCATATAATTACTTTTTGCTATGAAATTATAATATGCATGTTATTATGAAACAAAGTCTCGCTCTTTCATGATTTCATTATGAATTCGATTATACTTGATTCTTACGCAAAAATAATATTTTTAATTCGGTTATATAAAAAAATTGACATGAAGAGACGCAGGGCTAAGGGATTTACACGATAAATATAATAATCTCGACTGAAAAATTAAACAAATAATTTCTGAAAATATAGTCAGTATAAACTGTATAGAAAAAGCGAACGACTTCACTAATTGGACTAAAAATTCATTGATTCAACAGAATTAATGATACTTATCACGGTATATGTGATCAGGCTCTTTCTTTTTCCCACATTCTCGGATCTAATTAGCCTCTGCGCTCCAGATTAAACCTCGCATGAATAGCATCTCCTCACTTGAGCGTTTCATCTGTATTCTGGGCACGTAAAGATGTATTCGACAAGTACGTTGATTAAAATGAATAATTGATGCAAGGAATAATCTTCTGACAGGTGCCTCTGTCAGACCACTTTCCGGTATCTGGAAACCGGTGGAGCCCATTACACTCGAAGTCAATCATCCTTTCCTGGCGATCGTTAAATACAATGGCCTCGCGTTATTTATAACGAAGATTTTGTGGTAGTGATAATGCATATTTATATCTTTTTCATGCATTGATAAAAATAATAATCGGTAGATAATTTTATATATGTATCTCATTGTTGTTATACGAAGAACCTGGATGTTCGAGAATCTTTTTTTCAATCCATGTATCTTTGTTACTGATATAACAACTATTTTTATTCAGAAAAAATACCTCGATTAATACATAAATGATATAGAGACCCAATTTACGATCCGATCGAAAAAATTATACAAGTACTTTCAAATATAAGGATTAATTGTTTATTAGATGATTAATATATCACGGAGCTTATTCTTATTTGATTTTGTGATGATTTTGACACATTCTCAATCCGAATTATATTTAGATCGCTGAAAAATCAAATGATGAAACATTAGACGAAATATAGTTAACTTTAAATAACTTTTGAAAAATAATTGTCTAATAATTATTTTAAAAAATTACATAATAATGAAAGATTGCAACAAAACAATAATATATAATTTGGGGATTCTTATCCCTTTAATAATTAATTATTAGATATTTATTAGACTTTTTTTAAAGATACTTGGAGTAAAATATATTTCGTCCGATGCTTTATTGTTCGATTTTTCGATGATTTAACTTCGGATTGAGAACGATCAAATCACAAAATTGAATAATAAAAGTTAAGCTGCATGATATATTAATCGTTTAATAAATAAATTAATTTCTATACTTTAAAATACTTGCATAATTAATATTCCGTATATTCACATGTGTATATCGAATAATACGTGATATATGCAATATGTAAACAAAGTTTAAAAATTGATATTATTTATGTACATTAAATTAAAATTTTTTTTATCATTTAAACTTTCCAAGATTAGCCACAAATAATTCGAAATTATGCAATTTTGACAACCTGTTCAAATACAATGAATATTAAAAAAATATTTTTTTAAATTATTTGATAATATAAAACAATGTACAACATTAGCATCTTGTATAATAATAGCATCTTTGACAAATCATAAAAATGAAAAACATAATACATGTTTTTTAATCGTTTATTTGTACGATTTCTTTCGCTTTTTTAACTTTATTAAATTTGAAAATTTTTTTCGTAATCGATTTTCTTTGTCTTTGTTATTTTTTAAATTCTACTTGCTATATATAAATTTTACATATAATATATTCATTCACGAGGATTTGAAGTACATTTAAATCGGTTCAAAAGACACTATTCTTTAACAATTTAAATTTTCACAATTTTGAATTCTTTTCTATGTTGGAAATTGAAGATAATAAATAGCATAATTAGTTATTTATGTGTGATATTAATGAACTATTTAAAATAATAACGCGATCTTTATCTTCTTTAAAATATTATTGATATTAGTATAACTCTATACTAAATAATAATAGCGTAGAGTTACTAATATCAGCGTTTAATATAAAAAGATGATAATAAAAAACGTGCGTTATTATATATTTTAAATTATTAATATCAATATAGTATTTTAAAACATTTTTTAGTATTTATTTTTAATTTTAGTATTTAAATTTTCACATATTATATATTTCTCATAATGTAATATTTTAATATAATACCATAATCGCATATAATATACGTATTATAATACAATAATGTAATAATAATGTAATTCAATTACATTATATTATTATAACATGCATAAAATTATATATGTATAATGGTAGAAAATGTTAAGTGTTATAACACACACGAAAATACATAAATTAAAACATGAAGAGATATACATTAAGATTAGAAGATTTTGTTGACAATATAATGAATGAGAGCTCCAAATTCCAAACTTTCTCTTCAGTCTCTTGAACCGATCTAAAAGTACTTGAACATGCTTCCTAGTGCTTCGAATTTGATTATAAAAAATTATGTGGTGGGATTTGACATTTCCTCGGTAGGCATCAGCGGCCGAAGATTTCTACCTGATTTCGTGACCTTCAAAGCAAACAGGCCGTTCTCGTTTGTAATACAAGCGTCAAATGATCTCGAGCTACTCCGAGGCAACATGCATGATCCGAGAAATTAACGAAAGCATTCAAATGCGATGTAGCAGCTAAACGATCTGTAAGATTTGCCTATTAATCTGCTTATCTTTTTTTCTCTTGCATTTTTTGTCCCATTATTTTTACATCATTAGCGGCCGCTATTCACAATCAGTATAACTCGTCCACATTTCGTAAGTAATCGATTATCTTTTCGCAAGCTCTGATCAACATAGTTAATCACTCTGTTTTTGAAAGACTTATCTATTGAATATAACAGAATTTTTATATAAAAATTACAAAATGTTTACGCAAGCGTTACTAATAATAACAATTCGTGTAATAAACCGTAAGAAAAATGTCGAGAGAGAAATACTTTCGCGAAGAATCTAATTTGCAATAGAATCAAATGCAAAGCATACATGCACCGGCTATATTGATGAGAAAGAATTGATGTCGTTCAAATATTAAATCATTGATACGATTATTGATATTTTGTTCGCAGCTGTACTAATAGTACCACTTAGTAGTAGCTGGGATCCTCCACAGCTACAATTCAACGTAAATCGACCATTTTATTATTATATTCGTTATAACAAGGAGACATCGATTTTACCTTTGTTCGAGGGTCGTATAAATGTGCCAGAAGTATAATATAATAAATATTGTGTAAAAAATTTTTCATCTAAAAATTTAACGTTTCGATGTTCTCATTCTAATATTTATTAGCAAATTTAGAAGGCAACCAGGCAACAAGTACATAATTTTGACGTTAAATGA